GTGACGAGGTAGTTTTTTACTACCATTTTTTATTTTGTTACTTGTTTCTATTTTTTGTGTGTTTTGTTTAGTTAGTGAATATTTGGGATGGTGCAATTACTTTGTAGATTACTTTGTGTTTCATTGACATTTGTTGTAATAGTGGCCTGTGATTATTTATTATAACAAAGCGAATTTGGATTACAGCTGAGTTTTCGACATTATTGAATATTGATTATTACCATTGATGAACTCTTTTATCTTTTTGTGAGTTTGGCATGGTGTTTTCTTTAGTAAGTGAATATTTGATGTGGGGTATTTACTTTGTAGATTATTTGTGTTTTATTGACATTTGTTGTAAAAGTAGCCTCTGATTATTTATTACAACAAGCCAATTTGGATTACAGCTGAGTTTTCAACATTATTGATTACCCTTTTTATGATTAAGGGGAAATGATATGCAAGTCTTATTAAATGTGATGGATACACAATTCCAATAGATGTTCTTCGAGGCGACATTAGTCGATTTATATTTTGCGTCTATAGATGTTGATAATTTTTCTTTTATTGTGCAACATTGCATTATTTTTTTTAAAATATATGTTAGTATGATTTGTAGGACTGGAAAACATGTGCTGTTGGATGTAAGTTTGGGTTTGAAGGTGGTAAGAAGCTCGATGCTGGATTCGGGATTCCTCAGAAATCTGGCACTGCTAGTGTGCTTAGGTCAATGGAGTCGGCTACATATTATGCCGAGAATAATATTGACATGGCAAGACGGTGGGTAAGCACAAATGTGGTTGCTTCGTTTTTTTTTTCTTAACCTATATCCATATATTTTCATACCCTGAATTCCGTAATTCTGCAAGAATAAATAAATATTCTGGATAATTTATCTCTAATCTCGAATTAATGATAGAATGGTTACTGAGATTTATGTATTTGTGCTCTTTATATTGACAAAAAACAACATTAAGTACAATAGAGAAGTCGATCGAATAAAAAGGAGGAAGTTATCTTAATAAGGATTAGTTTGGTACGTAGAGGCCTCGTTTGGTTGGGGAGATTAGCCACTATTAACCAAATAACAGGACTTTGATGTTCGGTATCCAAAAGAACTTGCCCGGTCGACCCACAAATATGATGTTATCATCGTTTATCTTGTCTTATCTTGCCTCTTAGGAAGCTTTTTTGTTGGACATCCCAGGGTCCGATAAAATAATCGGGTTTTCATTATATTATTTAATCTTATCTTGACAACCAAAACGAGGCCAGAAAGTATAGGGGATGGGATTCTAGTAACTATGGCTAATAGTGCTTTCTTGGATTTTGTAGAGCTTACTTCTTTTTTCTCCTCGTTATTTCTAATGGTTTTTACATTTTCATATTTATTATGTTCTACGCGTTACTAATTTATTATGGTATGTTTGTTATGTCACAGAAAGGGATATGATGTTGTTATGACAACAAGCCTTTCGTCAGATGTGCCGGTCGGGTATTTCTCTTGGGCTGAATATGACATAATGGCTCCAGTTAAACCAAAGACCGAAAGTGCTCTTGCTGCTGCCTTCATTTCTAATTGTGGTGCCAGAAATTTCCGATTGCAAGCATTGATTGCTCTTGAGAATGCAAACATTAAAATCGATTCTTATGGGGGTTGCCACCGAAACCACGATGGAAGAGGTGCTTTATTTTATTCTTTTTAAACAGTCTTCTGGTTAAATAATGGAAATTGGTGTTTGAATTTCTCTATCATTTTTTTTTTCCGTTTTCTAAATACGTCAACATAAAAGATAAGGTTTCATTTCACTGAGAATCTTAAATAACTGCAAGTGTCGAGTGCAAAGTTCTGCGAAAGTAGAATTGAAATTCTTTAATTAATTTTCTGGTTCAACTTGTGTTTGGATTTACATGAGTGGATTTACATGAAGATCTTTTGTATTTTCAGTGGACAAAGTGGAAACACTGAAGCGGTACAAATTTAGCTTGGCTTTTGAGAACTCCAACGAGGAGGACTATGTTACCGAGAAGTTTTTCCAGTCTCTTGTAGCCGGTAATGTATTATATTCTTTCATACTCCTTTGCTTTGTTGATGAACAAATTGAACCACACACACCCACACAACACACACACACACACACACACTCATACACACATATATATATTCATTATATAGGTTCTGGTATGTTTGCATCGTGTAAGAAATTGTGTGACTTGAGGTGCACAAGTTGAAACAGTGACCTGAGAATTACAGAGTTGAATTTCTATTAACTTTTGGAATATGGGATGCTTGCTTTGGAGAAAGTGAAATGCACCTAAGAAACTAATGAGTCGAGTTTCGGATGTTCTATTTTAATGTTTTTTTTTTTTAATTTGATTTTTGTCTGACAAAAAGCATTTATCGCACATTTGCAGGTAGTGTTCCAGTTGTAATTGGGGCCCCTAATATAATGGATTTTGCACCTTCTCCTAGTTCAGTTTTGCATATCAAAGAGGTCACAGATGCCGATTCTATTGCCAATAGGATGAAGTATCTATCTGAAAATCCGAGTGCATACAATGAATCATTAAGGTCCGCAAATAAGTCACCACCTCTGTGAATTTTCCCGTAAAATACTTTGTTAGTAAACAAATCGATCTAAATGGATCATTTTGAAAAGTTCAGGATTTTTAATTTTTTTTTTTTTTTGTGCAGGTGGAAGTTTGATGGGCCGTCGGATTCTTTCAAGGCACTTGTTGATATGGCTGCAGTACACTCGTCATGCCGTTTGTGCATTTACTTGGCAACCAAGATCCAGGACAAAGATGAAGAAAGTCCAGAATTTCGAAAACGCCCCTGCAAGTGTACCAGTGGCTCGAATACCGTGTATCATATATATGTAAGAGAAAGAGGGAGGTTTGACATGGAATCCATTTTCTTAAGGTACGTATTTGTGTAGCATAACAGTGTATTCGATTGAATTTCCGCAGATGGCTTTTTCGTAAGGTACGTATTTGGAACTAATATATGGTATTTCATGCAGGTCGGACAATTTAACCCTGGAGGCATTATCTTCTGCTGTTTTATCGAAGTTTAAGTCTCTGAAACACGTACCCGTTTGGAAATCAGAGAGGCCCGAAAGTATAAGGGGAGGAGACGAGCTCAAAGTTTACAGAATATACCCCGTTGGAATGACAGAGAGACAAGCACTATATACATTTAGGTTCAAAGGAGATTCCGATTTCACTACCCACATAGAGAGTCACCCATGTGCCAAATTGGAAGTCATATTCGTATAAATGATTGAAGTTCCGGAATCTTCTTCTTGGCTGCTGCATTTGGAAATTGTAGAAGGAATCTCTCGAAGCTAGGGGTGAGTTTACTAAAACTCTTCCCTTTATTCTCCTAATTGCTTTTGCTTAACGATGTATTGATTAGTTTTCACACGAAAAAAAAGGACGAGATTATTACTTTTTTTTTTAATCTTAGTTTTGTCATCAGTTTCGATACTTGTTGTTTAAGACATACGGTGCTATTTGAGGGAAAACCATGACAGTGCAGTCTATTTAGTTGACCATGCAAAATGATAGAAGGTCCTTTTCTTCGGAACACTTTGATATTTTGTTCAGATAATTTGTTTGATCTTAATTAAATTTATCGACCACTTTGATAAATATGTATGTACCCACCGTGAGGATTAAATTCATCGTTATAGTGATCGAATCTATTTAGTTTTAGACAAATCGAAGTGTAGGAATCCAGTGGGATTTGAGGTGCTCGTCTGATTCGAGGTTCTTAAGAATCAGTTCCTTTTTTTTGTTTTTTTTTTTTCGTCTAATGTTTCGGAGAAAACTGCGTTGTGTTCTTTTCGGATGACACTTTTGGAAAGAAAAAAAATGACTTCATTGATTCGAGCACCTCTTTCTTGATATTGATGGAACAAAGGTAGGAATCTGTCCATTTCCTGGGATTTTATGTTATTATTATCATCATCATCATAAATTTTATATTTATCAACGGTCTGAAATTCCGAAAATGCCCTTGTTGCAATTTAGTTTCATGACACCTCTTTGGTGGTGGGGACTATTTGTAATTGTAATCTGTGCACACAGCCACCCGACTTCCTTACATTATCTTGTCTAATACTCCCTCTGTCCCATATTATATGTCTTTTTAGAGAGTTTTCTTGTCCCAAATTATTTGTCATTTTAGATTTTCAATGCATCATTAATTGCACTATTTTCAATTTTACCCTTTATAACTCCTAATTAGTTAGTTGTAAAACAATTAATGTTAAGGATATATTAGTATTTTCCTATACTTTTTACTATAATCTATACACATTTATTAATTTTCTTAATATGTGTGAAACATCCCAAAACGTCATTTAAATTGGGACAGAGGGAGTAATTATTGTTTTTTTTTTTTTTTTCCTTTTTTTTGCCTTCGAATTTAGCTCATAAAAATCTAACAAAATATATATAAAACCAAACCCGCACGTAAGCATTCAAACAATAAAAATGAGCTCGAGCTGGCTCGCACGTCAAAACACATGTTAATGTTTCACACATTTGTAAGGGTAACTAAAATGTTACATTGGGTGGATTTATACTTAATTACACCCACATACACACGTGTGTATGCCTACTTAGTGAGGATTATTTAATAATCAAATTCACCCAATGTAAATAATCAGGATTTAAATGTAAGAGCTAACTCGCTCGTTTGTAAAACGTACCATAAAAAAAACCAGTGCGCCACATATTTCGAAAACTGCAACTTGACGAAAACTACTTTGGCTAATTATAACACTTGAAAAAATGAGGCGGCTCGATAGATACGTCATCATCGATGTTGCCTCCTGTCATGAGTCTTGGCCTTTCACTTTCCAATGAAGCCACCCACCACACTTTCCTTCTCTTCTTATTTAGTACTCCTACTACTTTTGATTTCCTTTTCCTTTATTTTTCTAATCTGAACCTTTTCATACTTTAATGCAATTCTTTTTTTAATTTTCTGTAACTTAAATCCCTACTTGACCAATAATACGGACAGCATTACATTGTAATTTATTGAGCCGAAAGGGCAGGAAAAAAAAATTAATTATACTGATTTTATGATTATTATAGTCTAGTGCCTAACTTTGTCATCAAGACTACTAACCCAAATTTATTTCGTCCTTCTTCAATAACCATTCCAATTTTTTTTTTAAATAAAAAAAATATTAGTAAAGTGAATTATTTGATATTTCATAATTCTGCAATCCCTTAATTTTTTATTTATTTATTTCATCTGCTTCTTGTTTTATTTATTTATTTAGTTAATATTATACTCGAAAGAAATGAGAGATATTTTTTTTATATGTCAAAGAAATTGTGGTCGGTGAACTAAGGAACAGAAAGAACCCAAATGCAGTGCCAAGAGACTCCCATTCCACTACTTTCATTATAGGCTGTGGCTCTCTCTCTCTCTCTCTCTCTATATCTTTCTCTCTCTACAATTTTCTTATCTCCAAGCGTCGCCACCGCCACAAGCCATTTTTTTGTCGCACAATTCCCATAATAACCCCACCCATTTCCACGCATTCACGTGGAGCACCTTCTGGGACCCACGCTTGATAAAATAACTAACACAGGGGCATTTTCGACAAACCACACCAACTGTCAGCATTAGCATAGACAAATGGCCTTTAGCAGTAATCAAGAGCCCAATATACCATTCCCCCCACACTACAAAACTATCACCTCAGTCCATTGTCCCTCTACCACCACCACCATCACCGCCGCCGGAACTAGCTGAAACCTCCACCACCACCGCCTAAACATGTCATCACTTTCAGTGAGATTCCTGGCACCATCACTGCTGACGAACTCCAGCAACAACAGGTTCAAGAGCACCAGGCTCCAGGCCACCACGCCGCCGCAGACGGCGGCGCCGCCATCGTCCGGTGCGGCGGAGGTAGACGCTCTCCGCCTGGAGCCGAGAGTGGAGGAGAAGGACGGGTACTTTATCCTGAAGGAGAAGTTCAGGCAAGGCATAAATCCACAGGAGAAGGTGAAGATCGAGAAGGAGCCGATGAAATTGTTCATGGAAAACGGAATCGAAGACCTCGCCAAAATCTCTCTCGAAGAAATCGAAAAGTCAAAGCTCACCAAGGAAGACATCGACGTCAGGCTCAAATGGCTCGGCCTCTTCCACCGCCGAAAACATCACTGTGAGTGCGTGTTTCTGCGTGTGTGTGTGTGTGTTTTTTTTGAGCTTCAATTCAATTTACTGTACGCTGATTTAAGATCCACGATTTAGGATCTGATTTTTTTATTTTTTATAAAATAATTTAATTAATTTGTGATTTGGTGATGACGATGATGAGCAGACGGTAGATTCATGATGAGGCTGAAGCTGCCAAACGGCGTGACGACGAGTGCTCAGACTCGGTATCTGGCGAGCGTTATCCGGAAGTACGGGGAAGACGGTTGCGCTGACGTCACGACACGTCAGAACTGGCAGATACGCGGCGTGGTTTTGCCAGATGTGCCGGAGATATTGAAAGGGCTGGACGACGTCGGTTTGACCAGCTTGCAGAGTGGGATGGACAACGTGAGGAATCCAGTGGGGAATCCTCTTGCTGGAATTGACCCACACGAAATTGTCGATACGAGGTCGTATTGCAATCTCCTCTCTCAATACATTACCGCCAATTCTCGTGGAAATCCCGCTTTTACCAACTTGTAAGTTCTTATTCACACCTTTCTTTTTTTTTAATTACATTTCTTTTGATTAGAGTTTTAAACCTCCATAAATTCATACATTCGGGACCGGTCAAATTCTATTAATTTGATGAAATATTTTTTAGCAAGTTGCCTTCGAGTCGGTACCGAGAAAACTTATTATTAAATGAGGTTATTAATTTATCGAGGTTCTACTGTAGTAAGATTAGCCATGATTTTCATGAAATAATTATACTTTATTGCATATTTGGTTCGTCTAATATTTTTTCGAGCCGGCCTGCAATTGTGAAAAAAAAAACGGTTCTAATCTTGGCTAATTGGGAAATTATTTATTGTACCCGCCCGCCACTGTCCAATAATACAATTGAGTTAGGAACCAAACGAGGTCCTAATGTAATGTGGACAAAGAATCGAGAAATGTTGTGTTGGAATGAAATTTTGGATTTTTGTTGCTGAAAATTGTTTGTTGTGGTGATTTATTTTTTGTAGGCCGAGGAAGTGGAATGTGTGTGTGATAGGATCGCATGATCTCTACGAGCATCCACACATCAACGACCTTGCTTACATGCCGGCCACGAAGAATGGACGGTTCGGATTTAATCTTCTAGTTGGAGGGTTCTTCAGCCCAAAGAGATGCGCGGAGGCAATCCCTCTCGATGCGTGGGTCCCAGGCGACGACATACTCCCGGTTTGCAAAGCTGTACTCGAGACTTTCAGAGACCTCGGCTTTAGAGGGAACAGGCAGAAAACAAGAATGATGTGGCTCATTGATGAACTTGTGAGTTTATAATATTAATATGATAATAACTTAAGACCTCGTTCGGTTAGTAAGATTAGCCATATTTAATCAAATTATTGGACACCTATTGGCTAATCTTATCTTAGAAGCCAAACGAGGCCTAAATGAATTAATATGATTTGCCAAATATATTTACAAAATTTTGATTTTATTCAATGATGCAGGGGATAGAAGGATTCAGAGAAGAAATAGTGAAAAGAATGCCACAATTAAGTTTAGAGAGAGCTTCTTCGGAAGACCTCGTCGACGCCCAATGGGAGAGGAGAGACTATTTCGGAGCTCACCCACAGAAGCAAGAGGGCCTTAGCTTCGTAGGTATCCACATTCCAGTTGGGCGGATCCAGGCCGACGACATGGACGAGCTGGCCCGTTTAGCCGACGAATACGGGTCGGGCGAGCTCCGTTTAACCGTGGAGCAAAACATCATCATCCCAAATATCGCGAACTCCAAACTCGAAGCCCTACTCAACGAGCCCCTACTGAAGAACCGGTTCTCACCCGAGCCGCCCATACTCATGAAGGGGCTAGTGGCGTGCACGGGCAACCAGTTCTGCGGGCAGGCGATTATCGAGACCAAGGCTCGAGCGTTGAAGGTGACCGAGGAGGTGGGGAGGCTGGTTTCGGTGGTGAAGCCGGTCAGGATGCACTGGACGGGCTGCCCGAATACTTGCGGGCAGGTACAGGTGGCGGATATAGGGTTTATGGGGTGTATGACGAGGAACAAAGACGGGAAGGTGGTGGAGGGGGCGGATGTTTTCCTCGGAGGGCGAATCGGGAGCGACTCGCATTTGGGGGAGATTTATAAGAAGAGTGTGCCTTGTGAGGATTTGGTGCCTTTGGTTGTGGACTTGTTGGTTGAGAAGTTTGGTGGTGTTTTGAGGGAGAGGGAGGAAAGTGAAGATTGATTTTTTTGCTTCCAAGAAAATGGGTTAAAAAAAAGAAAATTTGCAGTTTCTAACTTGGTTGGATTTTGGTTGTGAATTTGAGTACTTATTATTTTTAAGTGAATAAATTGTTAATTGGTTCTTATAAGATGGGATGGGAGTATTGTGTATAAGTACTGTATTCTATACAGCTCACTTTGTAATTTTCTTCTCAGTTATATATATCAAAGAAAGAAATTAGCTTTCATCTTCGTTACCATTTATATATACATAAACACAAATACTCACATTGGTGTGTGCAAATCAACGGTAAATAAGCACCCGATGTAACTTTCATCGGTTGTACTATAGAAATAACCACAGCTATCGCCCAAGAGTAGGTAGGCTAACCGGGCCCATTTTATCGTAAAGTTGGACCCGAATAAAGATATGGGCCTAGAGTATCGCCCAAGAGTTGCTGGGCTAACTGGGCCCATTTTATCGTAAAGTTGGACCCCGAGTAGATATATGGGCCTACATTATCGCCCAAGAGTTTTTGGGCTAACCGGGCCCATTTAATCATAAAGTTGGAGCCGAATAAATATATGGGCCTACATTATCGCCCAAGAGTTGCTGGACTAACCGGGCCCATTTAATCATAAAGTTGCACCCGAATATTATCAGTCTTCTATTCACAAATCATACACGTGCATATATTACATTATCTTTGTTGTTGTCTAATTCATCACACCAACACAAAAACAAATTGTTGTTATATGTTGTACGAATTTTAGTTGTAATAATTCTTGTACGTGTCCAGAATGGAAAATAAAAACACCTTGAACAAGGGTAATAAGGATTTGTTTAGTTGCCGAAAAAGATAAAATTATTCAATTTTTTTGTTATAATTAAATTTGTATATATATAATTGTACTAATACACAATTCCCATTAAATAAAGAAAATGACAAATTATCTGTAAGGGCCATCAAGTTGGTAGAGTAAAAGAGTGTAAAATCTAACACTTCATACACAATGATGTACATACAGTATATAATTTGCGGCTTATTGCACAAGAGTCGTTGAGTTTATCCATATATACATATGTGGTTGTGATATATATAGCAACTTATTACAATGCCGTCATAATTATGATTTGTTCGTCTTTCTTTCACCGGGAGCCGGCAGACATTTAAGTTTCATGTAAACTTTGACGGCACAAAACTGAACCATAGAAACCGATATATACACATAGGGTTGTGCATGGATCGGTTTTAACCATCAACCAACCCATTTTCGACCCACAATTTGTGATAGTTAATCAACCATCAACCGACCCATTTAAGTTGGGTCGATAATGTCAACCAACCCATGTATAGTTGGGTCGATAATGGTTTCTAATATGCAAAAAAGTTGGTTACTCGGTTAATATCGGCCAACCAACTTTATTCATTAATTTATTATTTGTTAATTTTAATTAAAATATTTAATATTTTTAATTTCAAATTTCTATTTTATATCACATTTATTAAATTGTTTAATATTGACCAAAATCCTAAAAGCAATAAATCTAACTTAATTATCTAATTTGAACTATTTTAATTTTAAGACATACAGTCTAAATATTTGGACGATTATTATTTGTTGAACTAGTTATGTTTAATTGCAATATATATGCACGTAATGTTTTGAATCTTTTATTTGAATATTATTGAACTAGTCGCATTTAATTTATAAAAGATATAGCGTTGTAACAAGTAATAAAATATTAAAAAAAATTAAAAAATATTTAGATGGATGACCCATCAACCAAACCACCAACCAACCCATTAAATTGGTTTTCAACCATCACCCAACGCATGTAAGTTGGGTCGATAACGGTTTCCAATATTTACCAAAGTTGGATGGATGGGTTGGGTTGGTTTTATGCCTAGTTTTTAACCAAACCAATCAACGCACAGCCCTATATACACATATTAAAATTCGGTCAACAATATTATCCGAGAAAATTCATTCATTAGTCGGTTTCGGGACCAATAAAATAGCAATACTAAACTTGTGATATTCAGACATTACAGGAAAGAAAAAAAATGATGTTACATGCAATTGAAGAAGTCAACTAAAGACACACACACATATGTGTGTGTATAGTTACCCACAGAACGTGAGCTAGTTTTGGAATAATTGGTGTTTGGTGTAAATAAGGAGGTTGAGGGTTGTGGCATTAATGAAAAGACAATTATTAAATTAAAATTAATAATCATAAGAATTTGAAAGAGAGGTTGCTGCAAATCCACATATCTTATGATGATTACGATGAGACATGAAAAGAGAGAGAGAGAGAGAGAGAGAGAGAGAGAGAGAGAGTCAATATTTGAAGTGCTAATTAATTTTGTACATGCTAGAATGAATGGAATTGCCAGCTTTAACAACTTAATTTGTGTTTGAACACTTTTCCGAATTCCGTCAATTTTCGATATATAAAAAAAATTCCACATTTCATTTAATACCTAATCATGCTTAATTAAGTCTCAATGTCTAATCTTAGAGGACGAGCTGAGTCAAACTCATACACTTCGCTATATATTCAAGAATAATATCAATCAATAGATATATATTCTCGCATATTCAATCATCATTATTATTAGATAACTAAGAATATATATACATATCTTACAAGAATAGAGAAATATTCATGCAAGTGTAACCACCAAAACGAACCACTTGCCCTACAACAATTCGATTTTCGAAAAGTTAAATGGATCGAAAGTATTCATCGAATCGAATAATGAATCTAGGTTATAAGTAGGAGAGCTAGCCACATATATATAAATGAATATGCACACCACTTTTTCTATTCCCCTTATCCCTAATCGAAATTCCTCGGATATATGGTGACAAGGCAAGTACGGCGTCGTCATTTCATTTTTAAAATAGAAGATAGGGCAAAACGAAGTCGTGCTTCTTGTAGCACGACACGATAAAAGACGTGTTGTCCGTATATTTGTTCCCATTTTTTTTGCTCGATTCGTTTCAAACTGTCAACTGCCATTACGTGGAGTAGCTGACATTGTACCACATGTTTAATGTTACGTGAATGTTTTTCTTATAAATTAATTAATTAATAGTTTCTTTTGTTTTTTTTTGAGAATAAATTTATTAATAATTTGACTACTATGATATAATCTATCTCAAATTCAAAGGAGGAAGAGAAAAACTGGAAGTGTGGCATTTTAAATATTTAATGTCACAGTCGGTAATGATATCCCAAAGATTCTTCTTATTCATGAAATCCAAGAGCCGTGCCGTATTTTAGTGTCAATTTCGAATTTTTTAATCCCCTTTGCCTCACATTCCCTTTCAATAATCTAATAAAAAAATAGGATAATTTACAGTACCGAGATAAGTTCAAGTTACGAAAAAATCTCTCATGTTTAGATTATTACAATCACCACTCAACTATGATTTTTCTTGCATTTCCACTCTCGCGGTGTTAAATTAAGTAAAATCTTGTAGATTAAGTAAAATATTCTCCAGTTTATAACCATTTTACCCCATTTGAGATCCACATTTTGAAACAAGATGATCATATGTGTCTCTTTGGCTTGTAAATATCAAATTGTGGAGCAGCATCATAAACTGCATTTTTGCGCAAACCAAGTACAAGCTTGAAATTAGATAATATTTTACAGAATCTAGAATATTCTGTTGAAATTTGACATCACAAGAATGAACGTATAAAAAAATTCATAATCTAGTGGAGTGATTGTAATTACAAAAATATGATGAGTTTCTTTTTGCAATTTAACCTTACTTTAGGGGTGACCCGTAATTTGTCCTAAAAAAGATTAAAAAAAAATTATTATTCCCCTATGGTACATTTGTAATTTCATATATATCTTAATGAAGTTCAATCGATTACCAAAATTTTGTTACTATCATGACATTGTATTTTTTCTTTCTTTTTTTCTTTTTTTTCTGAATAAAGATTGAAATTATGACACAGGCGTGATAATATTATCCAATCACATCACTGATAAGATAAATTATCCACAAAATCATGTTAAAAATTCCCAATTGGAAGTGGGCATTTAAATATTAAAAAAATGGAAATAAGGTAGCCATTAATAGCAAATTCAGGCAGCCGACATGTTGCTAAATTAGGTAACCGGTTAACCTTTCTTTTCTGTAGTCTCGCCCACACCCAACCCGCACCTTCTCGTCCTATTACACTCCCTTGGACACGTGTCGCCTCCTCCATCTTCCAATAACTTGGTGTGAAAACCTACTTCTTAGAGTGAAATTGACTTTGTTACTCAAATTAAGTCTCTTAATTTCAAGAAGAAACTTATAGAAAAACGTGAAATTCCTCGCCCCAGTCCCACATTTGGTGGTCCCATTGAATTAATGAAAAAAAATTAAATTATGGTGACTCAGTGAGTCGTTAGAGTAGCGAACTTGCGTCTGATATTCATAAAAAGTAAATCCACATTTAAAATATTTATACAGCTGTCGGCACATAATAATGGAACTTTGTACTAATTTATTGAAGTTAGTATCACATAAGGATTTCTCTCTTTTTTTCAGAGGCCTATCAACTTAAAAAACTCCCAGTCGTTGTAAACTTGTAATTACAAAAGAAATTAATCATTATTAATTAAATAACGTAGTTCGAGTTTATTAGTGTCTTAGTAAATACAATAATAATTTTTCGGTCCAACCCGAAAACATAGTTTTAGCATTGAATTTCTTGACTTTCAAGGAGATTGATTATTCTTGGGCCGACCCATCTTCATGAATGGCGTTTTTATTTATTGTTTATTATTTTTATTTTTATTTACGATTTAACAAGTTAGGTTTATCCATATATGGGTTAAAAGTTAAAGGTCATCATAAACCCCATAGGGCGGCCCTAGTACAGGTTGTCCGCACACACACTCGCGAAGGTTCGGATTCCGTACATCACCGACGCTGGTCCATGATATGTTGACGTGATGTAACAGCCGTTTGATCTAGAAACTGTTAGATCATCACCTCCAATGAGCTGGAACCCCTTTCTCTGTGTTCATGCAATCGCCCCGTGTTTTCAAAGATTCGCACTTAAATCTTTTAAGATCACACTAACACAACAATATTAATTCAATACTCCAATATATATGGGATAAGTTACAACCAGCTCTTATGTTTGGGTAATTACAACTATAAATCTTCTTACACGTTCACCAATGGTGTCAAATTGAACAGAATCTTTTAGATTACTTGAAATGTTCTCTAATTTGTACTCGTTTTTGTGCAAAAATGTGGTTACTGATGCACCACAATCTGATATTTACAACCCAAAAAACACATCTTATGATCATTTTGTTTCAAAATATGGAGCTCGAATGGGATAAAACGGGTGACAAACTTGAGAATATTTCATATAATTTATAAGATTCCACTAAATTTGACACCATCATGATGAATGTGTAAGGAGATTCATAGTTGAGGGATGTAGTTGTAATTACCCAAATATAAAGGTTTTGTTTTCTTAATTTGACCATATCTCAGATGGTTGGTTGTAATTTACCCCATATATAAATCTACCATAAATTAAATCACCAAAGGTAAATATGTCATTATCATCCACTTCATCTCGTTGCTCTATATAAACAACAACAAACCTTCTCATATCTCACATTGAGAAATTAGTTAAATTCCCTAACACACTACCCCTCTCTCTCTCTCTCTTATAAGACTTCACAAATTTTTATAAGAGAAAGAAAAGAAAAAAAGAAAAAAAAAAAAAAAAAACAATTTCCTCAAATGTTTATTATGGAAATATTTTCCACTACAATAATTTACATCCTCCTCTTCCTTACAACTCTTGTCTATTACAGTATATCAAAGAAACAAATCCCCATCAGAAAACAAAAGCAAATACCAAAACTACCCCCAGGCTCAATGGGTTTGCCTTACATAGGAGAAACTCTCCAATTATACCACAAAGACCCCAACATCTTCTTCTCCGACAAGCAAAAAAGGTTCTTATTAGTTTCTTCAACAAACTAATTAATTTCCATTAATAACAATAAATAAATAAATTAAATAATTTTTTTATATATGTATGTGATGATATATATATGCATGCAGATATGGGGAGATATTCAAAACACACATACTAGGGTGCAAGTGTGTGATGCTGGCAAGCCCGGAGGCATCAAGATTTGTGCTTGTGACTAATGCAGATTTGTTTAAGCCCACTTACCCTAAGAGCAAAGAGACGATGATCGGCCCGTGGGCTTTGTTCTTCCACCGCGGCGACTACCATTATCGGCTGAGGAAGCTTGTTCTGAGCTCTTTATCTCCTGATCCTATTAGGAAATTCATTCCAGGGATTGAATCCATAGCCATTTCCACTTTGGATTCATTGGCCGCCGACAAGAATAAGGTTGTTAGCATATTCCGAGGAATGAAGAAGGTGCATGTTGCCTCTCTCTCTCTCTCTCTCTCTCTCTCTCTCTCTCTCTCTCTCTATCTCTCTCTCTCATGCATGTCATGGTTTTGTATATATAGTTCTCCTTTGAAGTGGGAATATTGGCTATCTTTGGAAACTTGAAGAAACAATATAAAGAAGAGTTGAAGAAGAATTATTTTATAATGGAAAAAGGCTACAATTCTTTCCCCACAAACCTACCGGGAACATCATATCACAAAGCTTTGATGGTAAGCAAAAAAATTAAAAAATAATAATATATATATTTATTTATTTAATTTATTTCCGTATAATTAAGTTGACGAGCTAGCTTTTTCTTTGTGCAGGCGCGAAAAAGGCTAGATCAGATACTTGAGGAAGTAATATGTGAGAGAAAGGAGAAAAAAATGGTGGAAAATGATTTATTGGGGAATCTTCTTAGCTTGAAGAATGATGAATTAAGCGACGATCAAATTGCGGATAATGTTATCGGAGTTTTGTTTGCTGCTCAAGATACTACCGCTAGTGCATTAACATGGATCCTTAAATACCTTCATGATCATCCTAAAATCTTCGAAGCTGTTAAGGTAATTAATTAATTGCTATAATATATATATATATATATATATATATATATATATATATATATATATGTTGTAGTACATAATATATATTTTTTTACTTGGCAATTAATTAATTAATTAATTGTTGTATGTATATACAGGCAGAGCAGAAAGAAATATACATGTGTAATGAAAAAGGAAATAAGAGCTTGACATGGACTCAAACTAGAAATATGCCACTCACTTATAAGGTATTATATATATTGTGCTATTTAAAAAAAAATTAATTTAAATGATTTTTAATTCCATTTTTTACAGAATTAAAAAAATTAAATATTACTGTGTGCATGGCAGGTAATATTGGAGAGCTTAAGAATGGCAAGCATTGTGTCTTTCACTTTCAGAGAAGCTGTGGTTGATGTTGAATACAATGGTAACAATTCTGCATTTCTTGACTTTTACTTTGACTTTCTCTCTTCTCTCTCTGTGTGTGTGGCCTTCATTTAATTTTTTATTAATGAGAATAAAATGTCAATTTATTTGATATTTTTATTTATTTTATTTTATTGTAGGTTATCTGATTCCAAAGGGGTGGAAAGTTATGCCATTATTCAGAAATATTCACCACAATCCCGAATTTTTCAGTGAGCCTCAAAAATTTGATCCACATAGATTCGAGGTATAAGAAAATATTCCATCAAACAAGTAATTTATTTAATTTATTCCAATTCTATGTAGACCCTTCTAAATAATTAGTGAAAAAAACTAAATATAATGAGGATTTTATTTAATTTTGCTGACGTGGCTGTGTGATTCAGGTTGCTCCAAAGCCCAATACATATATGCCATTTGGCAATGGGGCCCACTCTTGTCCTGGAAATGAACTTGCCAGGCTGGAAATGCTGATTTTAATCCATCATTTGGTAAACAGATTAAAGTAAGAAAATGGAAAAAAATAAATGAATAATATTTTATGCAAAAAAATATGAATTATTAACTAACAATTCCATTTCTACCCTCTCGTTTATCTGCAGATGGGAAATCGTGAGCTCTCGAGATACGATACAGTACAGCCCATTTCCGATTCCTTATAACGGGCTTCCGGCCCGGTTCTGGAACGAGCCGGACAACGAAGAGCTTTGCAATTAGCAAGAAATTACAAAACAACCCCTAACAAAATATATATTATTAGAATGCACCCCTCAAAAACCCTGTAATTGTTTTTTTATAATCAAGGGTCAAATTATATATAGTGTGCTACTATGTTGCTGGGGGCAATATTTATATATATTGTACCTATCTAAATGTGAAACTTTTATTGTGAATGAAATAATATTTTATTATGTTATAATGTTATTTAGTTTTTGCACGATAGAATATTATTGAATTAACCAAACACTAAATAATACTTTCTTTATTTATTTAATTTATCATATATATATATATATATATATATATATATATATATATATATATATATATATATATATATATATATATATATATATATATATATATATATGAAAATATATCTAAAACGAGAGTTTAACTTGATTGCATGTAATAAAAAGAGATTGTGAACTAATTGGAAGAAAAAAAAAGTGAAAAAAAATATATTTTAAAGTGTGGTAATGTCAAATTACTGTTATTCATGAGGTAATGTCAAATTACGAAAATAATTCATTATTTTTCAATAATTACAACCACTCATCGACTATAAATCTTCTTACACGTCCACCCTTACGGTATCAAATTTAGTGAAGTATTCTCCAATTTGTACCCGTTTTACCCCATTCGAGCTCCACAATTTTGAAACAAGATGATCATAAAATGTGTCTCTTGACTTGTAAATATCATATTGTGGTGCATCTGAAACTGCATTTTTTGTACAAAACGAGTATAAAACTAGATAACATATCACGGAATGTAGAAGATTTCACTAAATTTGACACCGAAAGGATGAACGTGTAAGAAGATTTATAATTGATAGGCGATTGTAATTATCCAAACATGATAGGTTTTTTCGTAATTTGACCTTATATCAGGAAGTGACCGTAATTTGACGGTAATTTCTCAAAATTATTGAACACAACCAAGAATAACATTCTTGTACTTTGACAATGTATGATTGTGGGGGTCAGCATCGATGAATAAGAAGATCAAGAAAGTCATTTTTTTAATTGGCTGCACAAAATTAATTTAGAAATTCCTTTTGGGTAAGGGAACTCTCTCAGGTGCACATAATTTTCTAGTGGGTCCTTTGATTTAAAAACACTATTGTATTATTATTTCTATTTGTGACCACCATTCTTATGTCAATTTTTCTGTAGCTAATGTAATTTGGTCGGCGCCACGTCATGTGATGTTTCAATTTCTTAAGAATAGACATTGTGCAAAAAATCACCCACAATTTCTTTTTTTAGGGATTATTTAGTACCAAAATCATTAAATTCAGAACAAAAAATCTCAGAATTAATTCTACAGTTGTAGTAGTTTGGATATGTTTCTTTGCATTTTAGGATTTCTTTAATTTATTTTCGGGAAAAATAGTGTTTTCGAAAAATAATTTCATAGAATTATTTTTCTATGGTGGTGTCGGTCGTTCAACATGGTATCAGAGTTCGAATTCTACTGCTAAATTGTACCTAAAACTTTTGGAAATTGTTGGTTTAATTTGTATCATTATAAGATATATCAATTATCAAAAATAATAAAAAAAAAATAATAATAATACTTTGTTTAAACTATTGGCCATAAATCCCATAAAGAGAAAAGTCAACGAAACTACTAGTGACTCAATCAAAGAAGCTTAACAGCACATGCACTTACAGTTAATCACTTAATAAAGTCATTAGTGATAATCCCCTTAAAATTGATTGATAACAGAGACCCTTCATTGTCAAAAGTTAGTTTATAAACATGATTAAGACATAATGAACTTTTAAACGAAGACGATAGGTCCTGCACGAACCTTCAAGATTTTGGATTATTTAAAGGTAGAATGTTACACTAAACGGTCTTTCTTTTTATGGAATCATTATCTATCGAAATACACTTAAAAATATTTCAAACTACAGTCGTCTTTTCTTGATTTGTGCATTCCACGTTTTCTCTTTTGTTTCAAGTATATCCAGAAGTTTGTCGCACTCAAAATTTTAAGGGTGTTCGTGTTTTGAGGTCTCCTAGACTTTTGTCAATCGATTATCAGCATCGTAAATTCGAATCTGAGTGAATCGACAAAACATTTCCGCACAAAAGGTCATTGTGAATAACCAAAGTTACCAGGATGGGCCTTGGCCCACGTAGGCGCAAATTTTAATGAGCCCAAGCCCTATGCCAACAAGCAAAATAACCAAAAAGAAACCCCAATGTAATTATTTTCCCTTTATAAATATTAAAATTCACGAGTCTAAATTAAATATTATTATAATTAATCCCCAAACAAACCTGCCGACATGCCTATTCCCAATTTCATTAAAATATTATTATCCGCCATCTCAATTATCTGACATTTCTATCTTACTCCATGTTCCTCCTGAAACGAAAATGTTTTTGCCGTTGTTTGTTTGTGTACTCGGAGTTGAATTAGGATCCCGATAAATTTGGTGTTATCGGGTCGCGTTACTCATACAGACATATATTATACATACATATGGAAGACATTAAAAGTATAGAGAAAGGAGATACACAAACGCGTATAGTTCTTACACATGGAACTGTTCGTTTTCAAAACGGTTCAGTTCCAACGGGCATAAGTCTGAGCAAGTGAACATCGACGATTAAAAGGAATAATTATGATGGTCAAGATGAAAATAGTTGACTATGAGCTGGATTATAAAGTGTGGGCCCAACCCAAAAATTCATATTGAAGCAAAATGGCGCCTTTTCTATCTTTGCCGCCAGATTTTGGGGTCGGGTATATATGTCGTGTTCTTCTTTCTCTAAATAAATAAATATATATACACATTACACACCCAAAATAAATAAATAAATTTTGTTTCGTTAATTAATTTATGTAGTGACATTTAAAAGTTCAAAAGGCACAAAAATCAAAGGCGTTAAAAAAAATGTGCGTGGCCATATCAACTAATATAAAATTCCATGCCCATGTGAATTATGAATAAAAAACTTCACAATATCTTATACGTATCCTCCCTCACTGCTCACTAATCTCTCTCTCTCTCTCTCTCTCTCTCTATCTCTCTCTAGTATATGGCTGTACTGAGTTTTGGGAGATTTTTAATGTAGAGCCGTTGTGGTGTTGGATTACTTTACTTTATACACCATAAATGTGTGTGCATATATATATATATATATATATATATATATATATATATATTATTTGAAATTGATTGATTGATTGATGCTTTTGTGGTTTGCAATTGAGATTCGAATCTTGTGATGGAGGAATCAATCTGGAAGGACAATGAAGTCACCTGCGCTTGGAATTTCGTCGAATCTTTCTACTTCGCTTTCGCGTTCGTCGCAGCGAGGTTTCTCCTCGATACGTTCGTCTTTCGTGTGAGCTTTCTCGACATACTCTCTTCGTTTCTAATTAAATCTTCTAGAATTAGAATGTTCTAGCTACTTGAACGAGCAACTTAATTTTGTTGTACTTGCTATCTGATTTTTTTACATTTTTTTTAGCCAATTGTACTTGTTAATTCATGAATGAAATTTTATCGCTTTATTGCATTTATTACCCATGTGTAATAAAAAACGCATAGGCCTGTCGAATGCAAATTAATAAACCCGACATTTCACGGAATGCTTATTTTTTTCTATTCATTTTGTACGAAATAATAGTGATTCAACCTTGATTAATATATAGAATGGTTCAAATGTTTGATTGTGCAGTTATTTTGACTATAAAATAAATGTGTATATATGTATGTATGTATCTATTACAGAGGATGTCCATCTGGTTGTTGAGGAGAGGAACTCCTAATTATAAGTTGAAAGACGATGAATTAGAGGCGAAAATAACGAAATGTTCGGAATCTTTGTGGAAGCTTACGTATTACGTTACTGTTGAATATTGCATTTTGGCAACTGCATACCAAGAACCATGGTTCGCAGACGTAAAGCAGTATTTTAGAGGCTGGCCTAACCAAGAGCTCAAGTTAGTTCTCTGACTATATATATCACTAATACATATGAATATGCATAATTCTTCTAGCTCTTGTTTTAGGAGATATAAATATTAAATAATTTCCGTGTCACTAGCAATTTGAACTTTTTGGTTGAGGCGATGATTCAGCACGTGACCAGAGTCAGATCAAATGAAAGGTCTTATATATCTGAAAATTGTTAATTTTTACTATTGTTTTTAGGCTTCCGTTGAAGCTAATCTACATGTGCCAGTGCGGGTTCTATATCTATAGCATTGGTGCACTCCTCATGTGGGAGACGCGTCGCAAGGATTTTACTATAATGATGTCTCATCATTTCGTCACCGTCGTCCTCATTTTGTTTTCGTGTTTCGCACGGTATATTTACATTCTCCTTTTTTTTTTTTTTTAAATTCATCGATCAATTGCTGAAATATTGGGATTTTATTTTTAAAATGATTGTGGCAAAAATTGATGAATCCCGCAGGTTGTTTCGAATAGGGGCGGTTATCCTTGCGCTGCACGATGCGAGTGACGTGTTCCTCGAAGCTGCAAAGGTTTTCAAGTACTCAGGGAAAGAGGTCGGAGCTAGTGTGTGCTTCGGGTTTTTCGCCTTGTCTTGGCTTCTTCTTAGGCTTGTTTTTTTCCCCTTTTGGGTTATAAGATCTTCAAGGTTTGTTTTATTATTTCAAACTAATTTTTTTCTCATAATTTTTTTTTTTAAATATTAAAAACACTTGTTTAACTACTGTTGATATATAATCAATCAGCTACCACTCATGTGAAGTGATGAAGCTATCAGAGCCGTTCATTATGGGAGTATACTACACCTTCAATACAATGTTGGTCACCCTGCTTGTTTTTCATGTTTACTGGTGGAAATTAATCTGTGCTATGATTTTAAGACAGCTGAAAAGTAGTGGCAAAGTTGGGGAAGATATAAGATCAGGTTTGCATTTTATTATTTTTTCTTTTTTTACTAATTATGATTTTTATTTTATTTTTCGACTTGTAATAAGAAGGAAAAAGATACATGTCAACATTTATTAATCCTTCGTGCAGATTCGGAAGAGGACGAGTAGGTGGACGATTATATCCTTGGATAAGCGGTTTTTGGTGTCGAAATTTGGCTTTGATTTCTTGTAAAGACTGCAAGTTTAATTTATCCATTTCGTTTTCGTAATTTTTGTTTTGATTACTAATGCATTGAAAAGTTATTTGTTTTTTTTTTTATATATCAAAATTTAAAGATTATATCGAATTTTACCATGTATTTAATCTACAATAGATGTTTTTCACCAGATGTAGCGTCTCGTAGACAACGAAACATGCCCACTACACTTTGATAAGGATTCGATCAAACTCGCATATGACGCTAGATTCTAATTTGTTGAAGAGAATACATACTACTAAAATTTCTGGTAAGTAGTATATTTTTATAATAATATTGCATAAATATATATATATATATATTAAAATTTAAATATAAATCAATTTCAATGTAGGATCTAAAATTGTACATTATAATAAAAATTAAATAAAAAAATTCTCTTAATAGATAGTGATTTATAAAAATTGGGAAAAGCACCAAAAAAATCAAGAGCATCGGAAAAAAATAATAAATAAATAAAGAAAAAAGAGCGTGGGAAGAACCGGCCGGTAAAACGTGGGCGCAGCGCGCGTGACTATAAGTTCACGGCCATATAAACTAGAACTCCATTTCCACATGAATAAAAACTAATTTCCCCCATTCCTTTGTGTTCTTTTAATTCTCTCTCTCTCTAGCTTCTCCCCTATCGCTGTAATTTCATAAATGTAGAGCCGTTTTCGTGTTGATTACGTTTCTACACCATTTTTTTTTTAAATTTCGGTAATTAATGCTTGTTGGTTGCCTTGGAATTCGCTAATGGAATCAAATTGGAAGTACTCCAATGGCTTACCCAGCGCGTGGCATTTCATCGTCGCTCTCTACTTCGCCTTCGCGTTCGTTGTCGTGAGGTTTTTCCTCGATCGATTCATCTTTCGTGTAAGTGAGCCTTTTTTTTCTCTGCGTGGTGAAGTCTGCATTATAAGTTGCATGATTTTGCGTTCTAATTAAGGCTTTTCCGATTTTACGGCATTCGAACGTGTTTAACTCATGATCTAATTTGAGCATAAATAATCCATAAAGCACTAACTACTGATTTGTTTATGTATCGTAAATCGTGAGGTGAGTTTTCATTTGTTTTTGTTGAATGATGTTTTATGATTACGCGTTCGAATTAAGGCTTTCCGATTTTACGGTATTCGAGAGTTTAACTTATATTGAGCAAATAACCGATAACGAGCTAGCGATTTGTTTTTCCAGTTCGTTTCTCACAATTGACTCGATCGTTTACAGAGGCTGGCAATCTGGTTATTGAGCAGAGGAACCACTCAGCTGAAACAGAATACGGCAAAAATAGTGAAATGTTCGGAATCGATGTGGAAGCTTACGTACTATTCTACTATGGAGTTTTGCGTTTTGGCAACTATCTATCACGAGCCGTGGTTTAGAGACGTAAATCAGTGCTTTACAGGCTGGCCTAACCAAGAGCTCAAGTAAGATTAATCGAATTAGTGATGTGCTTTACGAACAAAATTGATCTCGGAGTTTTCTTATATACTAATAAGGGACTTCATAAATTTCGTCGGTGCAGGCTTGCATTGAAACTTATCTACATGTGCCAATGTGGATTCTACATATACAGCATTTTCGCGCTCGTTGCGTGGGAAACGAGACGGAAGGATTTTTCCGTGATGATGTCACATCACGTTGTTACCGTGACTCTGATTTCGTATTCGTACGTCCTGAGGTATGTATTTTTATTAAACATATATATAATTGCGTCAAATTGCTTAAGTTTTTTTTAATTCGACGAGCTTTTCTTGCAGGTTTTTTCAAATAGGAGCGGTTATTCTTGCGCTGCACGACGCGAGCGATGTATTCCTCGAAGCTGCAAAGATTTTCAAGTACTCGGGGAAAGAGGTTGGCGCTAGCGTGTGCTTCGGTTTGTTTGCATTGTCGTGGCTTCTACTTAGGCTTGTCTTTTTTCCGTTTTGGGTTTTAAGATCAACAAGGTTAATTAATTTGCTTTCCAATCGATTAAAATTTCTCGTTTTTTTTTTTTCTTTTTTGCTGGTATTTTGTCGCATTAAATCGGTTTCTGATTATTGTTGTTGTTGTTGGTCAGCATTCACACATGTAAAGTACTGAAGCTATCTGAGACTTATGTTATGGGAGCATACTATGTTTTGAACACAATGTTGTTCACTCTTTTTGTTTTTCACATTTATTGGGGGAAATTAATTTTTGAAATGATTTTAAGACAGCTGAAAAATAGAGGCAAAGTTGGGGAAGACATAAGATCAGGTTTGCATTTTTTATTTTTTTTACTTATGCTAAAAAAAAGAAAAAAAAAACCCCGAAAAATCGGATTATTCTCCGATCCTTATTACTAACACTTCTCGCTTATTAACACAGATTCAGAAGATGATGAATAGTCAGAATGATTTTGTAGACACTGCACCCGGGTGACACACCATTAATTTTCACATAATAACACGTTAGTGGTAGTTATTCTTATAAACATATGGTACAAAACCACCCGATGTTTTTCAACAGATGTATTATATCTCGTAAACCATGTTAATGTGGTATTTTTTTTATTTTTTTTTGTAATTTTATATATATATTTGCAAGTTTCAATAATATTCTGCTACAAGATTGCGCTGACAGTGACACCAAACAGAAATACTAGTGTATTAATTGTTAATTTCATACTTGTTGAATATGTTTGACTTTTCCAAGTCGGAAAAATCAATTATTAATTATTATAGTTATATAAAATATTAAGCGGAAACTTTTTTTAGAGAGAAAAAAAAAATATAAATATATATGCAGATCTATATTAGGAGGAATTATGATAGGCTATAAATTATTTTTTGTATGTAACAGAAACTAGTATATTTATTAATTTTGTATTGATATTTTACTCTAAAGAGTTAATATTATTATATTTTATAAATATTTGTATAATATGTATAAATTATGTTGCATATATAAATTACATATTATATGAACAATATAGTGTGGTAAAGTTTGATTTGCAAAATTTGTAATTTAAAAGTCGAATTTCCGTAATAAAATTTATTTTCACTTTTTTTATACTAATGCCCCTCACTTCCGTCATATTATACAAATGGACTTCCGTTTGATTTCTGTAAGGCATGACGTCATCCCGTCCCCACAGGCAGTCAAAAACTCACCGTGTGAACTCTCCACCGGATGACGTCATACTGCCAGCTAATCAAATAGTCCACCACGTGCCAACAAAAATAGCTTTTTCTAAGCTGAAAACACACCGTGTAAAACTAGTGTGCGAGAGACTCTGAGCTGGCATCTCTCTGGCTTTTTCGAGGACGCCCCCCCGTATATATATATATAACGCCCCCCTTTGACCTTATTTTCCCCACATTCCTAAAAAACAATTTTTCAGACAATACTAAGTTTTAGTATTAATTCAAGAAGACGAGAGAAAAAGTCAACTTATCTGAGGACGGCGGACATGCAGAAGTCAAACAAGAGAATCAAGCAGGACCAAAGTACGAGTAGTAACTGTACCAGCAACGGCGGCTCAACGACGGCGCCGCTTCATTTTTCGCCGCCGCGTCTCACCAGTGAGGAGGAAGTTTCCATCATGGTTTCCGCCCTCAAAAACGTTATCACCGGCGCCGCCGCCGAAAACGCGGGTTACGAGTTCTGTGGTTCTGATCATTTCAGACGCGCCGCCGCCGGTGGTGGCTTTATCTCTGTTTCCGATGATTTGGAAACTTGCCGCTTCTGCCGGATAAATGGCTGCTTGGGCTGTAATTTCTTTGACGATCAGGAAAACAAGAGTAGCCACAACAACAGCAACGCACCGTCTTCAGCAGCGACGCCGCCGCCAGTGGCGGCGGCGGCGGAGGATGGGAAGAAGAGGAAGAAGAAGAATTACAGGGGTGTGCGGCAGCGGCCGTGGGGGAAGTGGGCGTCGGAAATAAGAGACCCACACAAGGCGGCGCGTGTGTGGCTGGGAACTTTCGAGAACGCGGAGGACGCGGCGCGTGCTTACGATAGGGCGGCCATCAAGTACCGTGGGCCCCGAGCGAAGCTCAATTTTCCATTCTCGGACTACACTGCCGGCGGCGTTGGTGCCGCCACTTCTTCCATCGCCGCCGCGCTTACGGCGGCGAGTTCCTCTTTCTGCCATCAGCAAGAAAATGTGGTGATTGAAATGCAGAAGAAGCGGAAACAAGAAAATTTTGGGGAAATGGAAATTGGATCGAGCAGTAATAATAATAATAATAATAATTATGAGATAAATAATTACGGTGATTTGGTGATCGGAGAAGATGATATTAAGGAGTGGCTGATGATGATGGATTTCGACAATGGCGGGAGTTCATCGGACTCTGCTAATGGCGGCGGAATTAATGCTCATTGCGTGTAGTGCAATGCTAATTAATTACATTATTTTATTATTTACTTTTTTTTCTTTTTTTTTTTTATTTTTATTAGAGGTGGTGCTATTTTTTGAAACAATTTTAAAATTCAAGAATTGGGATTCTCCTCTGTTTTATAGCTAGTTCAATAGTAAAAGAATACTATTTAGGGAAAGTATATATACATTAATGATTCTCTTTGATGGAAATTTTGAGTTACATATAATATAAGTGGATTTAATCTTTTTTTTTTTTTTTAAATTAAGTGTTGGTGAATGAGAAATTCAGTAACTATTTAAATAATTTAGTTATGGAAAATAATAGGTGAAAAGTCACCTGTAAAAAATGAAGGTGTTTGGTTTATATAAAAATGTAATGTATTAAAGACAAAGAACCGAATTATTGCTTCGACCATTTGTTAATATAAAAAATCTTTATCTTCGCGTATACATTTTGAAGATTGTAAATTCTATTAAATTTAAAATAAATCAATGTTTATTTATAGTTTAGGTGGAAAAAAATATATTAAAGTGCTCAATATTTCAAATTAAAAAACAAGACAAAAGATATGCCATTGATGAGACAAAGTTGAGATTATTGGAATATACATACTTTAAACCTTTTTATAATTACCATAATCCAATATTTAAAGACTTTAACTGCTTTCTTGGACAAAAAGTGTCATATTTGAAATCAAATTCTTGTAATATTTTTTTGAGTAATATGACCAAGTTAATAAAATATTTAATATTTAACACATTTTCCTTTAAGAACTTCAACTATTAATGATTTTTCATTTTAATTTTACCAAACTATTTTTTTAATTAAAAAAATCCACAAAAGAATAAGTCATAAATTAAATAATTGAATATTTTTAGATGCTTGATTATTTAATATTCTATTATTTTAATAGTTCCCACGAATTATGATGAAGAGGTCGACGAGTGGGGCCCACTCAATAAAAAAAAATGGATAGAGCATAGCACCTGAAAATGCTTTTTAAGACGGATAAAGGCGACGTGTAAATTAACACGTGTGCTTGAATCCTCTAAATTTAGTGGTGATACTAAGTTGTTATTTCAGGCATGTGCTGGAATTCTGAATAAAAACACACTACCAGATTTAAACAAACATTTAACACGTGCTTCTAAGAAACAATGAAGGGATACTTCCACGAGTGTTAATTACTCCGTGTATGTGTATGGCCTATGGGTATATTTTCCAATCATTGTATTTTTTGTTTCTTTAGGGAGTTGAGCCCACTGCGATTCAATCACATCACACAGTAGCCTTATCGAATTTTTTAGCTTCGAGATATAATAATAAATAAATATATAATAAAAAATAAAAAATAGATATAGTTGTACAGTAGAACCTCGATAAATTAATAATTTCGCTTAAATAATAGTTTTTTTTTATCCTGACTCGGTAAAAATCTACTAAATTATTAGTTCAATAATTTAGTATTTCGCTAAATTAATAGAATTTTGCTAGTTCCGACTGTATTAATTTATACAAGTTTAAGTGTATATATGTGGAGGGCTGGTATACACAAATGTGACCCACTCCGAACCCGTTTTCGGGGGAAAAAATAGAATTCGTTCCCTAACCATTTATTTACGGGGCGGGCATTGCTCTAGAATTTCGGGAAGAGTCGGGTTGGATGCCCACGGGTCGGGTAAAGATTGTCTTCCGTATATTAGCTGTTAAAAATAACCTTTAGCCAAACAGGCCCTAACCCTCCAAGTTTATTTATTAGTTATTGGGCCTTGGAATAATTGCGGGTCAAAACTCTCTTTGCAATAAATGAGACTCGTCTTTATTTAAGCCCATTGGTCCAATCGTAGGTAATTAATTGGCCCAAAACTTATTTCAATGCTCACAACAAAATTATAACTTATACGTGAAATAAATTCATATTTTTAAGAGCCCTTTAAAGATATTTTAAATATAGAATTCTCATTAATAATATTTAAAAAGTACTTAATTTTATTTTTTTCTGAATACATAAATAACTTTTTTTTTTAAATATAATCTAATACATAATAAACAAAGTCCACTATAAGAATTGGAATTTGCCATTAAAATCACTAGTAAATATTACATCTCTAATTATTTTGTGAAATACTATAAATTATAATAAGATTATTGTTACCGAATGTCTCACTAATTATATACAACTAATTTTTATTTATGTTTTATTTAATTCAATTCAAGTTAATTAAAATCAATCTGAATTAACTTTTAAATTTAGTACGAAAGTCGCTAAAGCAAACATCACGATTTACATGTGCTTCACCACGCTTTCTCCGCGCATCTCTCTTTCCTTCATCACCAAGCAATGAGTACACGTGGCACTTAAGATCTACGCCACCTGTGATACCCGACCACTATATAAACTTACATCCCGATATTTTCATATTTTTTTTTTCACTTGCCATTTTCTCTCTCTAAATCTCCTCAAAATCAGCGCTTCAAATCATTCTATCACCTAAAATTCGAATCACTATCCATTATTGATTATTTGTGAAACTATTCGAATTTCGATTTACTGAAGTTTTAGACTGATTTTTTTTTTTCGATCAATTAAGAGCGGCGGAGCGCCACCGTCATGGGCGGTTCACAGAGTCGGGAAGGTCTGGAACTCTCCGATTCGGAGTACTCCGACGACGATCGGGAGGAGCAGGAGGAGCAGGATTCCGAAGATTACGCCGACGCAGAGGATCGTACCCCGAAGGTGAGTTCAAAAACCCTAGATGAAGTTGAATCCAGGCTGCAGGCGTTAAAGCTGAAATACCCGAAGAGCGCCTCCCCTCCCCCTCGGAAACCTAATTCCGATCTCAGAAATGCCGTTAAGCTCTACCTCCACATCGGCGGCAACACTCCGAAGGCGAAATGGGTTGTTTCGGAGAAGCTCTGTTCTTATAAGTTTGTTAAGAAGTTGAAAATTGACGACGAGGACGACTACGACGCCGACGAATTGGGCCGGGGGGAGGGATTTTGGGCTTTGAAAGTGGGGAGGAAAATTAAGGTTAGGGTTTCCACCGAATTGCAGATGAAATTCTTCGGGGATCAGAGGAGGGTTGATTTTGTGGACGGTGGTGTTTGGGCTCTGAAATTCCTCGCAGACGACGAGTACAGGAGCTTCGTCACTAAATTCCAGGAGTGTTTGTTTGAGAATGTTTACGGATTGAAACCCACAGATGAAAACAAAGTGAAAATTTACGGGAAAGATTTCATAGGCTGGATGAAACCTGATGAGTCAGATGATTCTATGTGGGAGGATGCAGATGCTGGTGTGTGGAAGAATCCGGATAAACGACCCGTCGATTTCTCAGAGAGGGAGAATCAGGATTTGTTAGAGGAATTCGAAGAAGCTGCGACGGGCGGTGGAATACAGAGCTTAGCTTTGGGTGCATTGGATAATAGTTTTTTGGTTAGTGATTCGGGGGTTCAGGTTGTGAAGAACTTTAGCCATGGAATTCATGGGAAAGGAGTGTATGTAAAATTCGACGACAGTAAATTGGGTTGGAGTGGTGGAAACTCCGGTACGCCAAAGAAGGCACTTTTGATGAGAGGAGAGACAAATATGATGCTCATGAGTCCGTTAAAGGATGGGAAATCTCACACTAACTCCCCTGGTCTTCTCCAGCTGGATATCGAAACTGGAAAAATCGTCACAAATTGGAAATTTGAAAAAGATGGTGCTGATATTTCCATGAAAGATATTACTAGCGATGCAAAGGGGTCTCAGTTAGACCCTTCCGAGTCGACTTTCTTGGGTTTAGACGACAATAGATTGTGTCAATGGGATATGCGCGATAGAAAGGGAATTGTTCAGAAGATGGCGGATTCAAGCTCTTCGCCCGTGTTGAATTGGACACAGGGTCATCAGTTTTCGAGAGGGACAAATTTTCAGTGCTTTGCTACCGCTGGAGATGGATCCATTGTTGTTGGATCGCTCGATGGGAAGATAAGGTTGTACTCGAGAACTTCTATGAGGCAGGCGAAAACTGCTTTTCCAGGGCTTGGTTCGCCTATTACTTCGGTCGATGTTACTTACGATGGGAAGTGGGTTTTGGGTACAACGGACACATATTTGATCTTGATCTGTACATTGTTCACGGATAAAGATGGTCGGACGAAAACTGGCTTCAGTGGTCGAATGGGGAATAAAATTCCAGCTCCAAGATTGTTGAAGTTAACCCCTGTGGATGCTCATTTAGCTGGAGCGAATAATAAGTTCCACGCAGGCCATTTCTCTTGGGTAATTTACTAACACACACGTTTATTTCTTTTTACGGTTTGAATTGGTAATGTAGTATGTATATGATTCTAAATTTTTTTATTTTTTTTTTATTGATAGGTGACGGAAAGTGGGAAGCAAGAAAAGCATTTGGTGGCGACGGTGGGGAAGTTTAGTGTGATATGGAATTTTCAGCAGGTGAAGAACAGTGCGCATCACTGTTACCAGAATCAGCAAGGGCTGAAGAGCTGCTATTGTTATAAAATAGTGTTGAAGGATGAATCTATAATCGAGAGTCGGTTTATGCACGATAAGTATGCGCTGGATAATTCTCCTGAGGCTCCGTTGGTTGTGGCTACTCCTATGAAAGTTACTTCCTTCAGCATGTCGTCTGGCAAGCGGTGAATGACGTGGCAGGGTGGCTGGGTCGGGGGCTTTGTTTCTTTATTAAATTTGTGCTAGTCGAGTATTTCTCTTCTTTTTCTCGAGTGGTGGGTTCTTGATGTTTTACTGGAGAACAGTGTGTTTTGTATTTAAGGTATTCTGCAGATATTGTTTGGTTTATATTGTTGAAGCATTTTACTAATGTATTTTGTCTAGGTGATGAGAGAGAACAAAATTGCTTATATCTCTTTCAAAGATTATAAAATGAGAGAGAACAAAATTGGCATCACACATTAGAAAATGATGTAATAAACATTCAAATTGAGACAGAAACTTGTTCTAAGCATGTAAATTATTTTTTGACTGAGCAGATGTAAATTATTTTTTGACTCAGCAGATGTAAATTCTGTGCGGGGTTCATCAAATGGAAAACTTAAAGAAGATGTAATGAAAACGTTGTATGAAGTCACATTAAAAAAAAAAGGAAAAAAAAAAAAAAAAAAAAAAAAGAGGAGAAAATTGTTAGAAATGCTGAACAGCGCTTTTGTACTAGGTGTATATATAGTAAGAGAATCGTCAATCGTCAAAAAATAAACAACACGCTTTTGTACAGGGGATAAAATCTTCAAAAAAATAATAAGTCACGCTTTTTGTACAGGGATAAAATCGTCAAAAAAATAATCGTCAAAAAATAAACAACACGCTTTTGTACAGGGGATAAAATCGTCAAAAAAATAATAAGTCACGCTTTTTGTACAGGGATAAAATCGTCAAAAAAATAATAAGTCGCGCCAGGTAGGGGTCGAACCTACGACTTTCTGCTTAGGAAACAGACGCTCTATCCACTGAGCTACAGGCGCTGTTGTTGTTAGCTTATGTTTACAATACGATATAGACGCATGCGTCACATAATGGAAAATAAAAGTAGGGCAAAAGGGTAATTACGTTGAGCATGCAATGAGGCTCGGTCAATTATATTATCTGGCAAATCTAACTTCATGCACAACCCTTGATCTATACCATCTCCCTAGACTCATGTCCCACATTTCATTCTTATTACATCATTTTCTCTCTCTTCCTCCCCCTCTCTCTCTCTCTCTCTCTCTCTCTCTCTCTCTCTCTCTCTCTCTCTCCTCCCTCACCGGAAACTTCCGCCACTTCCTCCATTTCCGCCACCAATCTCCGCCACCATGTCCACCTGCATCTTCCTCCTCTGGCTTGTCAGCATCCCCCTTTCAATCCACGCCACCCCACAACCTAGAGGTACACATATACATACATATTTTCTTTACCTATCTAATCACATGCATGCATTAATCTTACATATTCAATTCTTTTTTCTCTAATATCTATCTTTATATATATGTATGCATGCATGCATGTAGGTAATTACCTCCTAAACTGCGGCGCTAGCGAAAATGCTGAAGAAGGGCCTCTAACATACATCCCTGACGACAACTACATATCAACCGGCAACAAAACATCCTTAAACAGAACCGACATATTACCTCGTTTACAAACCCTCCGTTTCTTCCCTAACGAAAACGCCAGAAAATTCTGCTACACCTTCCCCGTCATCAAAGAAAAGAAGTATCTCGTCAAAACAATCTACTTCTACGGACGATTCGATGGGGGTATCAACCCCCCGATTTTCGATCAGATGATAGATGGGACGAAGTGGAGCGTGGTGAACACCACGGAGGATTACGCGAGTGGGGGCTCTTCGTACTACGAGGCAGTTGTCGTTGCTCAGAATAAGTTTCTGAGCGTTTGTTTGGCGAGAAACGAGCACACCGTGCATGGCTCGAGCCCGTTTATTTCGTCTCTCGAAGTTTATTATTTGGATGATTCGGTTTATAATTCGACCAATTTCGAGAAGAATGTTTTGGTTAGTGTTGCGAGGAATAGCTTTGGTTCTGAAGGTGACATCATTAGGTAAACACACACACACACACACACACACATATATATATATATATATATATATATATATATATATATATATTAAAATCTCGGTAAATTAATAACCTCGCTTAAATAATAGTTTTTTCTGATCCCGACTCGGTAAAAACCTACTAAATTATTAGTTCGATAATTTAATATTTTTGCTAAATTAATAGAATTTTGCTAGTCCCGACTGATATAATTTATAAAGGTTTAACAGCGGATAATTGTTTTTTCCCTTATCTTGCTTATAATAGTATAGTACGAAAAAAAATAGTTTGTGATCTAATTTATTTCGAAAAAATCAGTTTTCCGGACGACAATTTCAATCGGTATTGGCAGCCATTCAAGGACGAAAACCCGTTCGTTTCGAGCCAGTCGAGTGTAAGTCCAAGAACATTCTGGAACATTCCACCACAGAAGGCTTTTTCATCAGCAATAACAACAAGCAGAGGAAAGAACCTCGTACTAAACTGGCCCCCGTTTTTGCTCCCGAACGGACTTTATTACGTCGCATTGTACTTTCAAGACAATCGAAATCCAAGCCCTTACAGCTGGAGGGTCTTTGACGTTTATATAAACGGAGTTAAATTCTACGAAAATCTAAATGTCACGGATAGTGGACTTAGCGTTGTCGGTGCCGAATGGCCTCTTAGTGGCAAAACCGAAATTACTCTTATTCCTAGTAGCGGAACTCCCGTCGGACCGTTGATCAATGCTGGTGAATTATTTCAGATTTTATCCTCCGGAGGAAAAACCGTTACTCGAGATGGTAATATTTCATAGTATAATGTCTTAAATTTTCTTGATTTTTTTTTGAAATATTTTTCAGTGGTGGCGATGGAGGAATTACGAGAAAAAATATCTAACCCGCCGGAAGATTGGGCGGGCGATCCATGTCTGCCTAGACAGAATTCTTGGACAGGTGTTTCGTGTTCGAAACAAGCTCCGTTTCGAATTCTTTCTTTGTGAGTTCTATTTAAAGAAATTAAAGTAATTTTTTTTAGAAGTTCAAGTATATGAGGAATTAATTAATTCTATCTTTTATTTGAAAAAAAAATGGATGAAGGGATTTGACAGGATTCGGATTGTATGGATCGTTGCCTGCAAGTATATCTAACTTAACTGCATTGAAACATCTGTAAGTAATTAATATTTAACAAAAAAAATTAAAATATTTTCTAATTTTTTTTATTAGTTTTTGTTTTTTATAATGATGTTGTAATAACTTAAATTGTATTATTCAGTTTGCTTGGAGACAACAGATTTTCAGGGACAATACCTGATTTCAGTGCACTAAAGTCTTTAGAAATTCTGTAAGTGAAATTATTTATGATTCTCACTTATTTAATTTTGTAAGTATTTTGAGTAAATTAATTTATTACTTTGAATTTAAATAAATGAAGGCATTTAGAGAACAATCATTTCGAAGGAGCGGTTCCTAGTTCGCTAGGCCAACTACCGAATCTTCACGAAGTGTAAGTATTTCCTACACGTACGGATGATATTCATATCAGTTTTACAAGATGATTTTGTAAGGCGATTTGATCGTGTGCTACAGATTTCTACAAAATAACAAGCTCGACGGTAGTAATATTCCCGAGTCTCTGACAAAGAAAGACGGTGTTAGTGTTCGGTGAGTCTTGAGGTTTTAATACATCCTTAAAATACTTTATTTTTGCTGCATTTATTTGTGTCTCAATTTTCTTTATGTTATGTGTATTAGGTTGTCATAGAAAAAATGATGGTGTGGAGGCAAATTGAAGGGAAAATGAAGCACTAGAAGTTACAAATGGGAGAGGCAAAGAGAGAGAGAGAGAAATTGCAATGAAGATTTATAGGGCAAATTAAGATTGTTTATTTAGTTTTTTTTTTCTTTTGAACTATGATTGTTGTGTATATGGGAATTATGTGACTCCTTTTGTATTGTAGATTTATGGTAAATATTAACAAATATCATTAGTGCATAGTATTTATTATTACATTAATTTTCTACAATGAAGTTTTTTTTTGAACCATGTTATGTGGAAGAGGCTTCGATACCACTTAGTGATCGATGACATTTTCAGAATTACTTGCATAATTTATAAATCCCGCTTTAGTGGAATCAAATGTTAATAATTTCAAGAACGGGAGTAAGCAATAGCTGAACGCATATTTGTTCAAATTTGTTTGATGTTTTTCAAACATTCATAATTGTGTTTGAGTTTGGTTTGATAAACTATCAGATCAAACTCGAATATACTTTAATCGAACTGTTCATAAATTGAGCTCATGTACTTTTTTTTTGCCATATTTTCCTTTTATTTTCTTAATTGAGCTTGAGCTCGAGCTCGAGCCCGACTCTAACTTTTATAGCTTAATTAACGAAAATACGCGTGTTCAAATTTGGTTCGTTATATTAACAAACTTCATTTGGTTCTAATTTGAAGTGTTGAATGAATCTATGAATTTAAAGAGAAAAATAAAAAAATCCTCTTTCTGGTAGCTATACTGAACTGACGACGCTACCTAAGTCCTAACCCACACCATACCATTCACTCTCCGCCAAACCAAAATTCATTCCAATTGTCGTCTCTCTCTCTCTCTCTCTCTCTCTCTCTCTCTCTCTCTCTCTATAACTATATATCCAGAAAACATTTATATGGAATGTGGCCGATAAACCCTACCTCAATTATCCCCATTTCCACACCTCCACTTGTCTCACTCCCCGCTCTCTCCCCTTCCTTCGCCGCCTTCCGCTGCCGCGCCGCCGCCGCTGACAACACTTACCCCCGTCCGTGGTTCAGTTTCGCTTCAGCTTCCGACGCCGCCGGAATCAGAATCGGCAGTGGTTCGTCGGATAATACAGGGTCGGGGATTTCGAGTAGTAATAACAAGGATACGAAGATTAATGCGAAGAAGGAGAACTGGTCGAGAGATCGGGAGAGCTACTTCGCCGACGACGGCGATGCGCTTCCTCTCCCCATGACTCATCCGAATTCTTCGCCGGTGTCGCCGGAGGAAATTGATAAGAGACTCAATTGCGATCCTGTAACGCAGGTACGCCGTTTCATTCGTCTCAAAATTGGACTTAAAAAATCGATGTGTTCGTAAATTGATAGAGGTAGAGTGTAGAATGCTTTCATGTTGAGTAATTCACTGTTCATCTCTCTAGATATTTTTTTATGTTCTTTGGAGTTTTAGCATATTTCTCTGTTAAGGAAATAAACCACTCTATTGAATTCATTCCATTGGAGTTCGGTTTACAGTATGAATGAATGTTCATCGTCCGTTAATTTCATAATCGAAAATGGGTAGTAATTTTTAACTGTTAGAGGTGACTGGATATTCTCTCTTCGAATGGCTGGTTGTGAATTAGATTTCTTCTCTAGTATCACTATAAAACTAATATTGGGGGTTTTTTCGTTTCTCATTTGATTGAATTTACGGATTTTGTTGGGAGTTTACAAATTAGGAATTTCTAATTTGAAATCAATGTTTTTAACTTGCACCTAAGCAATTGTAATTGAATCTTCTATATTACAGAGTTAAATCTTTCATTGAAATTGATTGGGTTCAACTTTCATGTGATTTTATATGGAAGCAATGTACTTCTGATTTTAATTTATTATCGTCTGCGCAGTTTCTGTTGTCGTTTCTAATCTATAGATGCAACAAAGGAATTTGTTCTTTTAATTGGTACAATATATCTGGATACAATTCTTTTAAACTAATTCGAGTTTTGACTTAAGCATATGTTTCCTTCTGAGTTTCTGTTTGGTGTAAGTGTATTATATTTATCATGGAATTGCAGGACTGCAAGCCAATGGTTTACGAATGGACTGGGAAGTGCCGTAGTTGCCAAGGATCTGGTTTGGTCAGCTACTATAATAAACGAGGAAAAGAAACCCTCTGCAAATGTATACCCTGTCAAGGAATTGGTAATATTTCTTTTTAATATTAAAAAAAGAAGGAAAAAAAATCGTAATAATGTGACGAATTAGTTTTAGCGTTGTGTAGATCCTAACAGCAATGCTACATTCTCCTATTGGAATTTGTGTCCAAATATTATCAATTTCTTGCACATTCATAATGGCTAAAAGGTAAACCTATCCATGATGATGCCCATTGCCCTTTTCTTGCAATCAAAATAGCTTTTGGATCGAACTTCATCATTGCTTGGGCTTTTCATATATTCTCTTTTAAAAGATAGACGATCTTTGGTAAAAGTTTTTATGCTTTTACTCATTCTTCAGCTGTAATTTTTTCCTGTCTTAATCTTAAAGTTGCAGGTAGTTCTACTTAAAGTTCTTCTATCACTTCTGATCATACATCATTTTTGGTATTATGCTTCACATGTCTTTGATATTTTGGCAATATTTCGTATCAGATTTGTTCTGGCAACAAAACTTTTAGTAGAAATTCATCATTCCTGAATGTTTTTGACATTTCTTGTCTGATAAGTTGTATTCCGGTACGTATGTTTCACCTTACGCTAGTAACTGTTTAAGTATCATATTTTGCGAAGCTTTCAACTATGGAGTAACCGTTTAAGTATGGAAAACTGATGTACATGTATTTGTGTTAGCAGGATATGTACAGAAGATAACAGCACGCAAGGATATCGATGTGATGGAAGACTTGGATAGTTAAAAGAATTTCTTCACCTCTTATTTAAATTACACTAGTTTTTCCAACCCCAGTTTTCCTTGCAGTTGGGGACATTCTTTAAAGACGTGAGATTGTTGTATTTTTCCAGTTATTATAGGCTAATAGCTCATTGTATTCGACCCGACTAGTTGTAGAGAAATCAAAATAAAATACCTGGTATTGACAAAGATGCCCTTGCACGAAACAATGTATGGAGACAGAACCAAGGATAAGAATGTCTTTCTGTAATCTCACCCCTTTGCACTTTATTCCTCTTTTATCAATTAACATAAGAATCTTGATTGTGTGATTTGAATGTAGTCCATGAATAAAGTTATTCCTTTTCATCATTTACGCCATCATGATAACTTAAAAACGCATTTCTCTCGTAAAGTTTGATCATGCCCCTATATATATTTGTTCCAAAACTGTTCTTCAGCCAAAAGAGCAAAGCAAAAAAGAAAAAAAAAAAGAGAAGAAAATGCTGCCAAGATTTAGTTTTCTGGATATGCAGTACAACCTTTCAAAGAAGAAATTCTTGAAAAAACCTTCAAGAATGTTCTCCCAAAACTCCGGTACATTGCCCATGTACTTGCCCAACATCGAAGAGCTAAAGCAGGTATTCAACAAATTCGACTCCAACAAAGACGGCAAAATATCACCCGAAGAGTACAAGGCTGTACTCAAGGCTTTAGGCAAAGGAAACCTCCTCACCAAAGAAGTGCAGAATATATTCGAGGTTGCAGATCTGGACGGTGATGGATTCATCGATTTCAACGAGTTTGTGGAGGTGCAGCGTAAGGGCGGTGGGGTGAAAGCAGCAGATCTGCAACGCGCTTTCCAAGCCTTTGACAAAGATAATGACGGAAAAATAACAGTAGAAGAAGTTCACGAGCTGCTAAAAAAACTTGGAGAAAGATGCAGCCTTCGAGATTGCCAGAAAATGGTCAGAGCTGTGGATGCTAATGGAGATGGTGTCATTGACTCGGACGAGTTCATCACTATGATGACTCGCACAATGACTACGTATTAATTTAGCCGAATAACCTAACTGTTGTTGAAATGAATTTAAGTTGTTACCAAATTCAGAAATACATACCTGTATTTGTGTACTTGTAACCAGCAATAAGATTTAGCTTTTGTATATTCCGAGTTAAATTCAAACCTAAACTATTAATCGTACACAATCCCAAGTTCAGTCGTATGCACAAAACAGAGGATGAGAAATACGTTAAACATGAAGAAAGAACTTAAAACAATATTATCTGAGATGTTCGGGGAAAAAAAACATACCTACAGTAGGCACCTTACAAACTAAACTGCCAGTGAGAGATAAATAAGAACTAAATTAATTTCACCTCCAAAGCTCCACATTGGAAATTACAGTACCGCCCTTCCAGACATGACCTGATCATTGTGAACTTACCAGTAGTCATTGCAAGAGCATTTGCCATCCTTGAAATGATGAAACCTTTTGTTATCCCTAACAATCAACTCTCTCCCGACTATTCTTGACATTATCTTGATCGCATTGTGACAGTCACCACAAACTCGTAGATTCTTAATAATACGCAGTGGGGTCCGCGCAGGAGTACTAATGAGACCGTAAGCAATCGCCAGACGCTCGCTGTGGTAGAGCAGTGCCTGCTCTTTCGCCTCTTGATCAATGTCGTGAAGAACATACCTTGTGTCAGGCACATACGCTTGCTCTTTTTTCGCGGCCCTCAATTTTTCGTCATCCTTGTACAGAGTAGGGTTGCGAAACTCGGGTATTCTGTTCCTCCCCACAAGCATGTTGACAGCAGATTGCTTCTTCGGTGGTGGAGTGGGAATCTTGTTTGTGATAGCCTTCGAAGGGTCAATGTTGACCATCAACTCCTCTGCACGGTCTTCGAGGTCAATATCTCCATGTATACGAGCATAGTTCATTAATGCCTCCCAAATAACAGTTGTGGGTTCAAACGGAAGAGTTTTGATATAAGCCTCGGCTTCGGTTAGATGTCCCGATTTTCCAAGAACACCTAATAGTGCCAGGTAATGCTCAATACCAGGAGAAATACCGTAATCCTTCATTGCCTCGAAATGTATAAATCCCTCTTCGATTGCTTCGGCGCTGGCACAAGCTTCTAGAACAACGAGGTAAGTTTGCTCGTTTGGTGGCAAACCTAACTTCCTCATCTGCTCAAACAATGCCAGTCCGTCATCCCCAAGACCATTCACCGCGTACCCATTCATCATCAAATGCCAAGAATCCATGTTTCTGTCGGTCATATGATCAAACACTCGGCGTGCATCTGTCATGCTCCCACACTTTGAGTACATCTCCAGCACCTTATTCTGCAATTGCAAATCGCTCCTGAAAGTTGACCTCAAGAAATAGTCGTGCACCTTTTTCGCATCCTCAAATTTCTTCGAATTGCCGCATAACTGGAAAAGCAAGCTGAAACACTCGGCAGTTGCACGCACACCCTGGTCCAGGTGTTCTATCACTTCCTTAACCTTACCTTCTCTGCACAAACTCAGTAAGTCAACAACATCAAGTGGGCCCGCCTGATTGCTAGTGACCGGACCTTGGTTCTGGAGCTGATTATTTCCAATGGGCTGCCCTTGTGATCCCCACTGGTTCTGGTTTTGTTGCTGTTGTTGTGGGTAGCCCATATTAGGGTTTTGATTATGTTCATTCTTCCATTGATTTGCACCTCCATTTGGAAGCTCACGGTTCTGATTCGGGATTTGCGGATAAGCCTGGTTCTGAAACCCTCCTTGTGGAGGATAATTCCTATCCGGAATTGGAGCAGGATTTCGGCCATATCCTTGATTTTGATTGTTGCTCCACTGACTAACATTTCCACTGGGAGGAGGGTAATTCTGGTTCTGCCGAAACCCTTGATTGGAAAAATTAGGGCTAGGGTTTGCTGCCCGTTGTAATGGATCGCCCTGACCCGAATTAAAACCTCCTTGACCCGGGTAACCCTGATTCACTCCACCATTGGTGTAACCACTACTACTATATCCCTGATTCTGCAAATTACTGTTCCGCTGATTACTAGGGCTCCCGAATTCATTGTTCCGTGGGGCCCACTGATTATCAGGGTTCTGATTGTAATTGAATGAAGAGGTAGAGGGCTGCTGGGTATTCGGCCTCTGGAAATCGTCGGGTATGGCGGAGGTTGATAGGGTTCTGATGATGGGGAAAGAGGGGCTTCGGATTAGGGTTTTGGGAACAGAAATGAAGGGGCGAGAAAATCGTACCTTGCCGTGAGAAGATGCGGCGATGGTGGAGGCAAATCGAACTCTGAGAATCGACGATAGAGGCGACGCCATTTTTTCCGATTGAGGTTGTTGCGGTGGTGGAATGGAAATGAATGATTAAACCCTTTGGTCAGTGATAAACCCTCTTACAGTTAATAAAATATATATAATTCATAATATAAAAATAGAAAATTGATATTTTCGATAGCCTACAAGTAAAAAACATTTTAAATTAATATATAAATATGGTATTTTATTGATAATTAATTACGGAAAATAAAACTTTCAATATTTACAATTCATTCTCCCTCCAGTCTGACCCCCAATTCTTGTGTAGGCCCATAAGGATTGAGCGTAGCCGAAACGCAATGAAGCGAAAAAAACATGAAGATGGAAGAAGTCGACGAATCCCCATCGCGTTCCGGCGATTCGTCGGGGTCCGGATCCGAATCCGAATCCGAGACGATCTATCACCCGAATCCGTATCCGTGTCTGCCGGCTCCGAGTGCGACAACGACGAAGAAGAAACGGCTGCAGCGCCGTCGGCTCCGCCGCGAAACCACCAGAGGAAGTCACAAAACGTAGCCGCGCTTGTGAGGTTCGTTAAAACTTCACTATTTATTGTGATAACGTTGGTTTGAGTGTTTGTTATAATCCCAGCGACATTGTGAACTACCTGTATGTTGGGTAATTGGGTCGATTGAAGCTAGGGTTTGATGGTAATTGGGTCGTTTGAAGCTAGGGTTTGATGGTTCCCGATTTGATTATGGTTTAATCCTTATAACATAGATTATGATGTTTATAAATCAGGGGAAACCTAGAAGTGAAACGGCAGTCTCTATTTCCTCGAGTTTATTCGGTAATAGATGGAGATGCAACCTCAAGGAAGCCCTTCAAGCCGCCCTCTTCCAGTGGTTACTCTGATAAAGAGCAGCTGGTGCGTCGGCTTTGTGCTCGTAAGAGGTTTGTGCCATGGGGTTCCAATAAGCCTGTATTAGTCAACATTACAAACATGCTTATTGCTCCCAATACCATTGAGAATGATGAACCAGAGGAGTCTGTATCACTGCCTCCAGGAATCGAGCCTCTGGTGTTATGGCAGGTGGAAGAATCCAAAGAGGGGGACAATGATTTTGCTTCTGTAATTGTAGATCCCTTGCTCGTGAAATTTCTCCGGCCCCATCAAAGGTACAGTTAAACATGGTTTAAGAGTTCCATGGGTTCTCCGCCTTCAATATTTTAGGTTAAGATGTGTAAGTTAGTGAACTAAAATGTAATTAATCTTTCAAAACTAAGGAGGGAGACGTGATAATTTCAGGATAAACATTGTCTTTAACATCTTGAAGATTTTTGACGCGTAATGAAGTATTTTCTGCAATAGCTCACAAGAAAAGAAATAGATTAGCTTTGAATGTATTAAATTGTTGCAAGAATTTTGAATTTAATAGGAGATATAAATATTCCGATGATTCTACTGAAATGGAAGGTTCACTTGATTTTCACTTGCAGAGAAGGGGTTCAATTCATGTTTGATTGTGTTTCTGGTGCTCTTAGTGCTGCCAATATCAATGGGTGCATTTTGGCTGATGATATGGGGTAACCTTTTATGCTGATAACCTTTTTATACTAACTTTCTTGGCTTTAAAAAGAAAAAAAGGTTTTCTTATTTATGCTTCCTGTCTTTGATGTTCTAATTATTTTTGGGTTGTTCACGTTTAGATTGGGAAAGACCTTGCAGTCGATCACACTACTCTACACTCTTCTTCGTCAGGGATTTGACGGGAAACCAATGGTCAAAAAAGCAATAATTGTGACACCTACTAGTCTAGTGAGTAACTGGGAAGCTGAAATCAACAAATGGGTTGGGGAAAGAGTGAAGCTTGTTGCTCTTTGCGAGAGTACTAGAGAAGATGTTGTCTCTGGCATTGACAGTTTCATTAGTTCTCGCAGCCGTGTACAGGTGATTCTCTGGTACTGCCTGAAAACTAGAAAATCATTATAACTCATAACTCAGTTGGCGTCCTTACAGGTATTGATTGTTTCATATGAGACATTCCGGATGCATTCTTCAAAGTTTAGCGGAAGTGGATCGTGTGACCTACTTATATGTGATGAGGCTCATAGGCTAAAGAATGACCAAACGTTGACCAATCGGGTAAGATAAATCAAATTCTTTCATTTGAGCTTACTTTTCCTGTATGAGATCATGCTGATTGGATTTACGATGACTTTCATCAACTTTTGGACCAGGCTTTAGCTGCTTTATCATGCAAACGTCGGATTCTGTTGTCAGGGACTCCAATGCAAGTAAGAACAACCTAAGAATCCTTATAGCTGCATCTTTTATCATACTACTTTCCCTATTTTATTGTTGGGTATTAATCAAGCTTCTGTATTCTTCAAATCTAGAATGATCTTGAGGAGTTCTATGCCATGGTTAATTTCACAAATCCTGGAATCCTGGGTGATGCTACATATTTTCGGCGTTATTATGAGGTATGCTAAGTCTGGATTTTTTGAAAAGTGGAAAATAAACATTAGTCTCTTATAAGTATTCTCTCTAGCAAACTTTGGACCCTGTCAGGAAGCATGTCTTTGAACAATAAAGATAGAATCAGCAATTCACATAGGAACGCACATTTTTCTGTTATCAAGTCTCATTGTTCCTCTGCAGTCCGTAGCAATTAAGTCCAATCCATTTTATAGCATACATTTATCTATAACATTGTTTTCTATAATTCTGAAGATGCCAATTGTTTGTGGTCGAGAGCCAACGGCTTCTGAAGAAGAAAAGCGGCTTGGTTCAGAGCGATCTATGGAGCTAAGTGCAAAAGTAAATCAGGTAACTACACAGTTTTTAATATTCTATTCCAGAAACTGCTGACTTCGTTCAAAATATCTTGTTTGTTGGAGCTAATGCATGGGTTACAGTACACAACTTATGATACATAAATTTGACTTAAATTCTTAACGAATTCCATTGGTTGTGTTTCAGTTTATACTGCGGAGGACTAATGCGCTACTGTCTAACCACTTACCACCAAAGGTACTCTAATCTATCATGATTATGATCCTAGCATCGTATGGCATACTTCATTATATTATTTTAGATCTATGCTAAATGAGTTTAATGATTAATTGATCTACTATTTGACCTTGCCAATCATTTCATTAAGTTTCCCTTCAAGACCTTGATATTTATTAAATTATCTGTTAATCTCGGGTTTAGAGTGTTTCCCGAAACAAGGTAAGAGGCTTTGAGATCATGTTTAACTGTTTAAGGTGATGTGTTGCGCCCACATCTCTAGACGACTGTGTTGCCTATGAAGAATTATAAAGGAACTTGTATAAATTTGCATGATATATTTTTAATTGTGGAATGCCTGAATCATGATGGTGTGGTTGAGAGGTGGCTGGCAAGTATGTTTTTTATGTGTTAAATTAAAAGGTTATCATTGTTGTTCCTGAACTCCCGTCTTTTTCATATCTACATTTTTTTTATACTTCTGTGCTAATATGTTGATTGTTTAATTAAGCCAATCACTCACTTTTTACAGATAGTTGAAGTTGTGTGCTGCAAGTTGACGCCTCTGCAATCTGAGTTGTACAACTATTTTATACATTCAAAAAATGTAATATTTAGTTCACACTCCGCATAAACTTCTTTTTGTTCTTGACGAAGTACAGGAGAAAAACGTTTTAACTTTCACAACTTTCAAGCACAGGTTAAAAGGGCAATTTCTGAAGAAGCAAAACAAGCAAAAATCTTGGCTTACATAACTGCTCTTAAGAAGCTCTGCAACCACCCAAAGGTATACTGTTATTTAAGGGAATGAATCTATTGAGTAGAAACAAATTGCATCGTTACAGTTTACATTAGTGTGTTATGGATCTTATCGTGATCTCATATGAAACACTGATGTGTTTTGTGAATGAAACTGTTCTGATATATTTAGTTTCCTGTTGCAAACGAGAAATGAAGAATCTAGATGGCTCACATTAAAAGTTTTACTTGAGGCGGTAATGGAATTAAAATCAGAATAAAATGTATCATATCATCATTGATTAAGTTATATACATTGCTATGTGACAGTGATACAGAAAAGATAATGCTAATTTGGTTACACGTCAGAAATAATGTGTGAAGTTAGTTGAAACATCTATCTCGCGCATGGAGGTTTCATCATCTTGATCTCAACACCTAATTCTATAAAAATCTTAAGATTTTCTTTTCATTTGCAATTTTTATGATTTGATTGCAACTATTATATTACTAACTCCATATAAATTGATGTTGAAGCTAATATATGATACAATAAAAAGTGGGAGTCCAGGAATATCAGGGTTTGAGGATTGTCTGCGTTTCTTCCCACAAGAAATGTTCTCTGGAAGGTATGCTTCCTAATTCTCATACTAATGTTTTTTTCACTGATTTTAGTTTCACCTGGTGGTAATTTAAACAACTACACCCTAATGTTCTGTTAGATCTGGATCTTGGACTGGTGGCGATGGGGTATGGGTTGAACTATCTGGAAAAATGCATGTCTTAGCCCGGTTACTTGCTCAACTTCGTCAGAAAACGGATGATAGGATCGTTCTAGTTTCAAATTACACACAGGTTCTGTCTATTTGTCAAAGTATATATTTAATTATGAAGGACTTTAATTCTTATACGTGGCTTGATTTGCTTGTTTGTTACGGAACCATATTCTGTTGATTATCATTTTAATTTCTAATTCCGAGAACATCCTTTTATGAGAATGATCGTGTTCTTTGTTCCTTGAAGTACATCCATATTAATTATCTTCTCCTTTCTTAGACATTGGACCTTTTTGCTCAATTATGCCGTGAAAGAAGATACCCTTTTCTAAGACTTGATGGGACTACATCAATCAGCAAAAGGCAGAAATTAGTTAATCAATTCAATGATCCCTCAAAGGTATGTGAACTTCGTGTTTAAAAATCATGTTTATGTGGTATGAGTTTTACTATCATTGGGTCATATTGATATATCATTTTTCCCAGGATGAGTTTGCGTTTCTCTTGAGTAGCAAAGCTGGAGGTTGTGGCCTCAATTTAATTGGTGGAAATCGACTGGTTCTTTTTGACCCTGATTGGAATCCAGCCAATGATAAACAAGTACTTTTTCCTTCTATAAAAGATTATTAATCTCACGCTCTGACTGTGGAATTTTATTACCATGTTATTATATATTGAAATTGCTCGTTTCAAATTTTCAATCCTCTGAATTTTGCAGGCTGCAGCAAGGGTCTGGAGAGATGGACAGAAGAAGAGAGTCTACATCTATAGATTTTTGAGTACTGGAACAATCGAAGAAAAGGTTTGGAGCAGTAAATTATTGATGCATCAGCTTGTTCATATACTTTTTTAAGCAATTATGCATTGTTTCTAATTTTTCTGTAGGTGTACCAGCGTCAAATGTCAAAAGAAGGACTTCAACAAGTTATTCAGCGAGAGCATGTAGACTCAGAGAAGGTATTTTCTTCTGTGTCCAATTGTTTCCATCGAGTGCTTTCTTAAAATTCTTTGTGCATGATATGAAGTTCTCATCACAGGGAAATCACCTTTCAACAGAAGATCTTCGTGACTTGTTCTCATTTGACGAGAGCATGAGGTGCCATTTAAGTCTACATAACGTTTATAAAAGAATTTTTGTGAACTTGTTGATATTTAATGGAGGTAGTGTTTTTTTACGTCTTGATTTAGTTCGGAAATTCATGAGAAGATGTGCTGCAACCGTTGCAAGCAACATGAAACGATGCCTGGAAGCAGTTCTCCACGTAATTACACAAGTGAGAGCTGCTCGACTGGTGAAGAGGATATAGGGGGATTTGCAGGACTTGCTGGGTGCTTCAACAATTTAAAATCCCACGAGAAACAGGTTAGTGACCCTCACAAATATCCCGATTCTTGTGAACGCAAAATTTTATTTTGCTAAAAAAAAATTAAAAAAACTTCAAGGTCGGAACTCCAAAGGAAGAGGATTTAGCTAGCTGGGGGCATCATCATTCTCCATCATCTGTGCCTGATTGCATACTTCAGGCTTCAGCCGGAGATGAGGTCAGTTCTCCCGTGAAATAATTTATACAATGTAAAAAGTAATTGTTCAACCCCAATCGAACCCTGGTTTACAACTACGGTCAAGAAACGTCAATTTGTCCACGGTCCAATCTTGACTTTCGGCCATTAAACCTGGATAAAGTCCTGTTACAAAATAGGACCTTAACTAAATCTATTCATTTCACTAAGAGACCTCTGTATATCAAAATTGAAGCAATCATAAACCGATTCAAGTTTAACTGTCTTATCGACTGTTTATCATTTTCGCCTACTGGATGACATGCATAATTTTGTTTTACACGCCTGCAGGTTTCATTTGTTTTTACAAATCAAATAGGCGGGAAGCTTGTCCCAATCGAATCAGCTGCAAGACCAAAGACAGAGGCGGTCAATGAACATAATAAAAACCAGACCAATTTCAGAAAAGTTCGAGCAGTATTGTCGTGTAAGCGTGACGACACACCGCCGCAACCGATCTCTCTTAAGAGGGATTCCGTAGAAAGACCATTCAATTTGAAACCTCTAACCAAGCCACGCTCAAAATTAATGAGAACTTCACAAGGTAAAACTAACCTCAAAGTGTTGCCTATAATTTCCCCTAGTATTGAAATACCTTCAAATTCATTGTCTTCTGCTTACATAAATGACGATGATTTTGCTTAGCTTATGAGATTTTTACCCTCTCGATTTTTCGTAACCTAATCAACAAACTTCCATATGCAAACTACCCTGATTCATAAATCACGTAGTCATCGAGTCCGGGTCTAAAAACGAACAGTATTTGCCGTTCGGATATACATAATTTGATTGTGCCGATTCTCGTTATGTAGCAATAGTAGCTAGTAAATTTTATTGTATGTATGAGAATTCTTACTGCCCATAGGAATGTAGTCGAAACAACCATCTTACAATAGTTCAGTTTTTCTTCATATGACATAGAGCATCGAGTTTATTCTATACTACACTCGGTGAGCGCTTTACCGAGTTATAGAACAAAACCGATTCCACCACAAAACAAACGTAAAAACGAGACGAGAAAAAAAAAAAAAGATTATGAAAGAGTGGATAACAAGACAAATGGTGCTCACTGTATTGGAGACAAGAAGAAACACAATTGCTAAGTCTCCTCCACCTTTTGATGGGAGATTATTTTGTAGCAGTGTAGTGTGTGCCACGTGTAATAAACCGATTTGACTAATCCAAACAAGGTTAGTGTTAACCATGTGAGCCTAGCCTCACTTGTGGCCGTCCATTGAGTAATTTGGAATCTTTTCACCCCCAATCACATATTTTATGTTGGATATAATACACACTATTTTCATATTTTTTTTCCTTTTCTTTTAAGAAGCTTTTTATGTCTCAAATAGTATAATGAATAAATTATCAAATATGATTCAATTATTTAATTTAATTACCACCCCAATGAATTTTAAGCTATAATTTTCTGTTGGATATATTATTATATTAAGCTGTAATAAAAAAAATATTATTTAATTGATCATTTTCCAATTATTATTCAGAAAAAAATAAAAAAAGATGTGTATGTATAGTACGTGTAAATGTAGTGTATGTACAGGTGTTGGTCAACATACGGTGGTGAGTAAAAGTAGTGTTTGTTTGTTTTATAGATAGTGTCGGTCAGAGTTGAAGTAGAAGTGTCCGAAACTGCACATGTTTGCCAGTTTGGCTCTAGAGATTCTGGTCAATTCTATCTATATCGTATTAATTACTTAATTAATTATTTAAAAATCTTCGCAAAACGACAAATGTGTCTAGATATTTAGCGTAAATTACAACCACCTCCCTGTTACAAAGTTTAATTACAACAAAATCCCTTTTTTTTGGAAAAATTATATCCAACCCCTGCAGTTTGTAGATTCACTACAAAAAGGTATATACAAATTACAGGAATAGATGTAATTATGGAAAGACGATGTTTTTTTTTTTTTTTGTAAATAGACTTTACCTAGGAGTGGTCCTAATTTGAGCAGATATTTATGTTAATATCTATATATATATACAAGTGTTTTTTGGAGAAATTAAATATTACATCTGATTATTTATACTGAGTGAATTTGAACTGTATAGGTCTACATGTAATCACACACATAAGTTGGTCAAAAGAAACTTAGGACGACCAAAAGTTTGTGTTTTAATAATTTTGTCAATAGTATTTAATTGAGATAATAAAGAATGCACGTCCCTTCTGCTTCCCATGTGGATCAGTGTCTAATTATTGCAACCTTTTTATACTGCAAAAAATGTCTAAAAGGCAGACAGCAGATGGTGAGCGTGTAATTAACTATATTTTAACTTTGTTTAATTAGCAAGAAATAATACATCTTGGAACCCTAAATAATAGTTTTAGTAACTAATTATTAATCCAGTGGTAATAAATAAATTAAAAATGCATAATTTTTGGATATTCGTTGTGTAATCCGCAGCTAGATCGATCTCGTAATCAGGGGCGGACCCAGGGGTGTTTTCTTGGGGGGGCGGAAATATAGGGGTAAATTAAGAGAGAATTTTTTTTTTTGTTTTTAGGGACTAAAATGTACAAAATTAAAAGTTTGGGGGGGCGAAAGTGTATAAACTAATACATAAATACCCAAAAAAAAAAAAAAAAAAAAAAAAACAGCTTAAAAAAAAATTCTTGGGGGGGCGGGGGCCACCCCAGCCTTAGGCGTGGGTACGCCCCTGCTCGTAATTGTGGGAGTTCGTGTATTGTAAGACCGTTTGTACTATTTAACTAACCTATATGCATATGCAGTGTGTAATTGTGTGTAAATCTATGATATGATGCTACCGATGTTAGCGCGGATGATAGACGAAGATGATGCCAATTCATCTAGGCATGCCGAGATGGTTTTGTGCCTTATATGAAAATAGTATGAATTTTAAAATATATAATAATAAATAATTAAAAAAAAAAACTTTGATTGCTTGTGTATAAATTCATTGACTTGCTATGGTGATGGTAGTAGTAGTGTTTGAATCCTTGATTTCAGAAATTGGCTATAGATGTAGCTTATTAGATTGCTTTAACTTCACTACTAATTAAGATCTGGATAACATTTTAATAACTCTCTCTCTCTCTCTCTCTCTCTCTCTCTCACACACACACACACACACACACACACACAGATTTGAAAATTGCAAGAGGGGAAAAGCATACTGAGAATATAAAAGTTGTATCCTTTTTTTTTTTTGGTTTTTAATAAATAAAAAATCATATCTAATTACATGATCCAGCATGATATAGATCTGACTAAGATATTAATATATACTATATGATCTTTGAATAAATGTCATAGAATTGTTTATATGCATTTATGTGAATTGGCATATTATAAACAACATATATATATATATATATATATATATATATATATATATATATATATATATTTATATATATATATATATATATATACATATATATATATATATTTATACATATTTCATATATCATATTATTTGTCCATTTCTTCTTTTTTTCTATTTTTATTTTCATCTGCTATTTTAACCTTTCTTTATTTATTTCATCTTCCTTCTTTCCTCTTCCTTTTTTTTTTTTTTTTCTTCCATCTTCTTTCTTTATTTTTTTATATCTTATTTTTTCACTTTTTTTAGTTCTTTTTTTTTTCTTTCCA